AGGTGATTTTTTGTGCTTCTCCTCGCATTTTCCAGATAAATTCCTCAACTGATCCACATTCAATGAAGGAAGAAAATCTCAAAATTCCTTCAAATGAAACCCACAAAATAGTTGCGTTGCCGTTGAAATTCAATTGAGAAATTTGAGGATCGCTCAATCATTAACAATAAAAAATTTATTATTTTTAATGATTACATTTTGTTCAAGGAGAGACAATCATGTTAGTAAAGAAAACGGGCAATGTCCCCTGTCCTCGTTGAAAACATTTTTATTTTGAAAAAAAAAACGGATCAACCAAAACAAAGACAGAAAATGTGGGTTTTTTTTATTCAGTTTTGCCGATTTTTTTCTTGCTTACATGAAATAGCGTCACAGACTGAGATCAGAACTTAAAAATCCGTTTGTTTATTTAAAAATAGAAAATAAATTTTCCAATGAGGAAATAACCCTTTTACTTTACTTCCACAGTAATTTTTTTTATTTAAAATTTATACATTAAATTTAATAAAAAAAAAAAAAAATGCTTTTTGTGTATGTAAATCCTAAAATAATATTCAATGAAGGATTCTTCATTATTTTTCCACTCAATTATTGCTTAAATAGAATTCATAAGACTTCCCTTCCATCCGATATAAAAGTTAAGAACGAAATTTCCCCGTTCTTGAGTCCAGAGCAGGTATACACGTCCGCCCATCTTTCGCCCTAAAATCCTGCTTTTCCAAAAAGCGACGTTCGGCTCCTTCGTTCATTCGCTAAAAGCATTTCGACCTGCGAATAACCACCTCGTAAATCCACTCCATAAAACTGTGTGTAGCTCAAACATAGTCGGCGCACGTTTGCGCCAATCGATGGCTGAGCAGAGTCGGTTGGAGCGAAGATTAATATATTTCTGCTCGAGAAAGGAACCCTGGAGAAAAGAGGCAAAAACGTGTGTGTGGCACGGTGTTTTGTGTTATTGATATTCAAAATATGCAGTGAGGCGGCAGTGAAAGCCCAGATCGCGCGCGCAAGAGATGAAACGGGCCGCCCAATCGGGACTTTTGGCAGCAAAGGGTTGCTAGGCAACCCCGTTAGTTACGGCCAAGGTCAGTTTTACTCGCTCGCTGATTGCCGAGGTACAAGGATACGCTCTGCAGCACGTTCGGCGCAAATTGGCGTACGTGTGTCCACTTTTGTCTGCCGACCGGGGGTCGAATCGTCGCTCCGCAATTTGCAACGGTCCTCACTAATGCACCCCGAATAAACTTGTTTATCGCAGCACGCGAAATTTCCTGTCCTCTCTCCTCTCTGACTCAGTTCAATGCGTTTGCCGCAGTCCGTCTGTCTTTGTTTCCTCCTTTTACGCACAAGTCGTTTCGGGAAATTGCAAATTTACCTCATCTAACTCCTTTTCTTTATTTCGATTACATGGGGCGTTTTTATTTTAGTTGTTTAGGTATCTGTTGATATTTAATTCGTATATATTATATATGATGAACAACATAAATTATAGTTAAGTAAAGCTTTTGTATTGTTTGTTTAATTTTATCATTTAATTATTTACTAGTTATTGGTTATTTAAATATATAAATTCTAAATTGTCTGATGCGGTATTATAATTAAAAGATACTTATCTTCTGATATATTTGATGTCTTTCAATCTGCAATGCTATACATGTACATATCTATTGAAATGGAACGATAAAAATGTATGCAATTTAATAAACAAGAGGTCCTAATGCAACTTGCTAAACACAAATGTCCAACGGCGCAGCATGAATACAAAAATTAAATACAGTTGATTCTGCAAGTAAAGGTGGATAAGCGCTGTTTTAAAAAGAATTCGCACTAAAAAAAAACTGAACTTTTCTGCATTCATAAATTTCAAAGCATAAACTTTGTTTGCCAAGGTTAATGAACTCGTGGCTAAACAAAAACACGACGGGTTCTAATTTGTCCGAGCAAGTCTCAGAAGTTTACTCTTGCTGCAGGGAGGCATTAAAGCCCATATTACGCAACAAAGAGATTTGCTTAGCGCAGCACATTGTTCTATTTGCTCAGGAACAAAGCTCGTAGGCGCTCAATCTGGAGCAACAACGGCGCTCCCTTGAGCAAAGCCTCGATTTCATAACACGCTGATAAATCGGGTCGACCACTGCTTTCGTCGCCTTTCACTCACCACCTTTAAAAACAGGTCACCTCAATTTTTTTACCTTTGATTGTTTTGATGCAAAACACGCAATCAATATTAAAATAACAGAAATAATAAAAACAATTTGTTGAAATTGCAAATTTTACTCTGAATTTCAAACACTCCCTAATTAGCACAATTGTTTTTGCTCTTGTTAATTTTATATCTCCATGCATTCTCTGCCCAAACACATCAACATCATTCATTTTGCACTAAAAATGTGATTTATTTCTTCCTTAGTAATAATGAATTAATATATGGCTTTTATTTGAAATAGTAACAGATTTTATAATTTCAAGGGATTATAACTTCATTTAATTCATCAGTTTGGATTTAATTAAATTGAGCAATTAAGTGAATGTACTTTTATAATTTTACATCATCAACGAAAATCTATGATTAATTAGTAAAAACCGCACGGGCCCACAATAACGTTGGTCGTTTTGTTGTGGCCACGAAAACGGCCAGTCATGTTTGGCAGCGAGAATGCACGCCAACCGCCGCAGCACGCGAAATTGTACATCGGAGTGCGGGCGGGGATACGGAACGTGTGCGGTCGGCGCTCGGAAATTATATTTATGCTCGCCGGCGCAGCAGACAGTGTTATTAGATTTGAAATGAGCTGTTGCCCGTTGCGGTAAATTAATTTACTATGCACGGAGGATTACTTTTGGAGCGAGGTTTAGCGAATCGTGCACGAATGGCGCGCGACAAGCTCAATTCATTTGACGCAAGTCCAACAATTACAAACTCGGTTGATTTGCCCAAAGTGTAATTTATAATCATACCCTTGAGTGAGTAAAACGACTATTAATGAACAGCGAAATGTTTCCATTTGCATGTGCTAATAATAAGACAATTTGATCCTCTGAATTATTGTCAAATTTAAAATGCTAATATGAACAACAATTTATTACTCCAAGTAATAAATTTATTTATTTAAAAGAAATGCATATATTATATTTATTTGAAGTAATAAATACATAACTTACTGATATTGTAAATTAAAATAAAAACTAAATATAAATATGATTTAAAAATTATAATTTAAATTTTGTTATTTATTTATTTAAACATATTTGAATATTTTTAATCATGAAAAAATAGCAATTCATGCATTCTTAATTTTATTTATTTATTAATTTTAAAAAAAAAATATGAATACTGTTTTATTTAAAATAATCAATCAACCTTGACAACCTATAAATCCAAGTCACAATTCTCCTAATTTCTGTCATTGATTGTATCTTACTTTTGAGAAAGTTTTAGGTGGGTGCGATTTAATGATGCGAGCAAAACTGCTGTAAGGCGCACTCGCTTTTTCTTTTTCCCTCGGTTGCCTCCCACGCTAGCCAAACACGCTGCGGAATCTTGTCTTCGCACTGCGGTTCTCGAGGGCGAAGCAATTTTCCGCCGTCTTTTTCCACAAGAGAGAAAGAGAAAATTTTGCGGGCGATTTCACCACCACTGGCTGACGACATGAATGTACTACACCTGCCGGCGAATTCCTTTGAGCGCCCAGATTTCTCTCCATCTTCGTCGGAGCGTGCGAAAAAAATCCGCAAAGGACTTTGAATGTAAATTTGGTCCACGGCTTTTCTCGTGGACCTCAATTGAATATGGAAATTGACCGGCATAAGAGCAGTTGCTGCTTTCCCATAAATTTCCTTTCCCTTGCAGAAGTGGATTTTTATACATTTTCAAAGAGGCGCCAATATAGTGAACCTTTGAGAGGTGCATAATTTACATGTTAAGAACTTGGTGGATCTTTTTGGAATGAACTTGAATCACATGACACAATCGGGACTTAATTAATAATGCTCCCAGGAATATTGCGCACATGCGCATGTTTATCTGTTTTGAAAGCAAAGCTCTGAATTGCGAAGCGAATATTTTGTTAATTACAAAGCAGATGGGCTTAAATTCTAAATTAGTTGAGCTGCCCATAGCTGAGCATAATATTGATCCACTAAGAGCGAGGCACCTGACGGTTCAAAAGTAAAATATTAAAATACGATTCCAGTCGAAAATTTTCAACCTAAAATGTTTTCATTCCACTTCTATAAGAAATTTACATGTTGAATTTGATCCACGAATTGATTTCTGGGGTCAAACACAAAATGATTTGAGGAAACTTGTTTCAATGAAAAATTAAAATCAAGTGAGTTGTCAATTTTACTTTAGTGGAAATAATTTTTAGAATATTTTTTACTTCAATTTGCTATTTTGACCTGGCTTATCGATTCAGCTGGTCCTCCCTCCGTTCATTTCGACTCCTCCTATTTGAAATTGGGCAACTGAACATACATCTCGCATCAAAGCTAACTGGCGCATCGGATTTTGAAATAATATGAGAGAAATAGAGTGTAATAAGAGAGCAAAAGCTTTTTCATGGAAAATTGGTTGTGAGAGATTTGGTATTGAGTTACTAAAGACAATGACAAAGGACTCAAAATCCTTTCACAAAATAACAAGCACAGCACAAAATGAAAATGAACCAAACTTGCTTTCCAATTTGTTTATTTGCAAAAAATTTATACTTGGGTTTTTTTTAAATTTAAGTACATCGATCATTAATTTATGAATTTGCTTGAAATTGCTGGTGTTCTACGGTAATTATTGAGGATTTACTGATATTTTTTTAAATTTCAAAATATTTATAATACCTTCAAATTGAACAAAACAACCCCTCTGCCATTCGCAAAGTAGAGTTTAATTTAATTATTATTTAGATTAAGATATTTAAAAAAAAAATATATATATTTCAACCTTTCCAAATTCCCAAAAGCTTTAAAAACTTTTCTCACAAAATGACTGCGTTTACTTCACAATGGGCAAAGTTCTGGTTGTATTCCAAAGAATTTTCATTCTCTGCTCATTTCTAGTGACATTGACGTGTTCAGCAATAGCTGCGAGTTGCGCTGGGGGATGAGCAGTGAAGTAATTTAACAGGCTGCAAGGCGGCGTGTTGATGAAGCTAAAACTAATTAAACTTTACTGCATGTACATTTAAGGCTGTTGTGTGCACCGATTCGTACACTACAAGCCTTCTTTTCTTTTTCCCAGTTTGAAATTCAAGACAAAATTAAAGAGGAGCAGTCAAATAATTTCTCATTATTTTGGCTGAAACGTTAGTCTAATTTCGCTCAACCCTGCCGCTAGTAAAGCTCGACGCGTGTCTCTTCAATAATTGCTCTTACATTCTCATTTCACAATGGCACTAAATTATATCCCGAACGACGTATCTCTTCTGGAAATGTATTTCCAAGCGTATAAGCCTCCCCTTACACGCAAAGACCATTTCGCGAGCCGATTATTTTATCATCAAATGAACCACTTCGGCGAAATGCTAATGGGTGTCCGCCGGGCCGAATTTCTGCCGTGACGAGGCACTTTGCTTTCATCAACAAGAGGATCAAAATCTTTTTGTTACTTGCACATAGTTGGTGGATGAAATCAAAGGCGGTATAGATATCAAACAAAAAAGCTGCCCTCGTTTTTATGGGATGGGGATGACAAGATATATGACCTGACTGAGGCGAAAGTTCAATTCTCGGAACATTCTCTGCTCGTGATGAGATCAAGTGGCCGTATATCAAATTACCAATAAGAGTTTTTCCCTTTTTTTCTATATTTGAAATGGCGTTTTTCGTGAAAAAACATTTAAAATTGTAATTATAATAACAAGAATTTTAGTATTGGCTACAAAGTTTTAGAATAGATTCAATTTCGTTTTGAATTCAAGGCCTGTTTTGTAAGCAAAATAATCTCTACGCACTTTTCTCAAAAACATTTTTTTACTCTGTACAATTGTTTTAATTTAGCTAGTTTTAGTACATGAATAATTATTTTGCTTAAAACTGGTTTAAAAACCACTATAAGTCAATAAATCATTAAAAACAAATTTTACCGAAAAAGATTTTGAGCTGCGTTTTTCCAAAAGCTTTACCACTAATCCAATTTTTTATTTTAAGTAGTTTCTAACTAATGCTGTATTCTGTTTTACTAGTTTTCATTTTAATTGCTAAAAAAGAAATTACAGTGCATGAGGTAAATAACAAAATTAAATCGATTTCAGAAATTTATGAAGCAGGTTTAAATATTTACATACCTCTTTTAATCCACGAAATTGCCTCCAATTGTCAATTTATATTTGAGTCAATAATGTGCTAAAACACGATTCTCTGTTTAAATTTATTCGATCTAAATTTTTATTTTTCGGAATTTAAGTTGTTGTAGTATATGATGCTTTTGGTTTGCTTTGAATAAAAAATTGTTATTTACAATTATGAATTTCGCTGGATATATTGTGTATTATTTTTTATTTTAATATTTATATCCTATCAGCAATAATTAAAAAAAAACACACACACAACTGCAATGGAACCGTTTTCAATTATTTTGGATTGATAACACGTCATGCGTGTATTTGTGTTGCAGGGTAGTTACCGGACAGCGCCGTGAGCGTCTTGGGCGCTGTGGCCGTGCTGCTGGTGGCCGCAGTCAGCTACCAGTGCGCCCTGGCCACGTGGCGCAAGTTGCTCCGGGGGTGGCGGCTGGGCTCTGACAGCGGGGTGGAGGCGGAGGCGGCGCCGACGGCCGTCCGCATCAGCCACTCGCTGCCGGACTTGCAGCCCCTGCCGCCCCCAACAGCACCGGCACCCGTACTCGTTCCCCGCACCCCTCGTCCTTGCGAGGTCAAAAAGGTACAAACATTTTTTTTAATGCAATTTTATCCCGAAGACGTATAATTTTGTACATGGCGACGCAAACTTTGCTCGTTATAATATTTAAGTGAGCAAAAGCTTTGTCAATAAACGTGAAGAGCAAAAGTTGGTAATGCACTCGTATAGAGCAATTGAGTTTTGTGTAATTCCAGTTAAGTCCTTCACAAATGCATGAGACGCTAAAAGTTTTCAAAGTTTTGCTTCGACACTTAATTTTGTTTTATGTGTGGAAACAATATTTTTTCAAAAAGATAAATAATAAATGGCGTTTTAAGTCAGTTTTATCTCATGAAAATTTTCCCAATCTTGACATAAAATATAAATTTCCCTAAACTGTCTAAAACAAACTACAATTTGGACAAATAAACAACAATAAATAATAATATTATTGACAGAGTTTACTAATGGCTATTAAAAAACGTCCAAGTTTTGTAGCTCTGCGTGGCTCTATAATACATGTTAATTATAAATTTAAAATAATAATTTTCCAGGTTCTTCGCCAAACTACTCTTCCTTCTGTGCCGACTCGACATCAAACTTTTCAGCGTCAACTTTCTCACCGACTCGATCTTGACGATGTTCCTTTCACTGTCTGCACTCTTGAGCCCAAGCACAGCCTAGGTCACATAATGGTAAGCATTCTTCGATCGTATTAAATCCATAACTCTGGTGCTGAAAATGAGGCGAAGAAAATATCCACGACTCGCCCTTGCACAAAATGAAAATTATTTTTATTAAGAACGACCCAAGAAAGAATATCTTTTGTCTCGTTGGTTGAAGTTGAGGGTGTAGAAAGCAGCTCTGCCTTTTGCCACGCAAGACGATTATTCATCCAGGTGGGAGGTGATTCATAATGAAATAATTATCAAGTAGTGGCGGTGAATAATTGCGCCGGGGGCTGGGGAATTAGATAGGGCAAGGCGCCCGCCATTGCAAAGTGGGTTGCGCGTGTAACAAATTGCCGCTGCTTTTGCGCTACCTTGCCCCAGAGCTGCGGGTCGTGGAAAATTCTACGCCGTGATTTCTGCACCTTTGAATCTTTAACATATACCGTGTGCAGGGAAGAAATAACGACTTCCCACTGAGAAAAATTCAATCTCGCTCAAAATTGTTTTGCATGAGCTTATCCTCTCCAAGATTGGAAAATTTGCTTTTCATTTTATATAAAAAGCAATCGGATTTGGTTTCAATGAACTTTTTCATCTGCTCCGAGTGGTTTTGTGGCGCAAATTGTTGTAAATTACGCCGGGAATAAATAAAATGGGAGTTTGTCAAAAGGCCGCAGCTGCAGCGGTGTGAAAATTTTGTACCTGCGGGAACAAATTGGAGTGGATCAATCATTGTGAGGAGCAAGCAAGGAGAGTGGGGCGAGATTCAGATGACGATGATGTGTATCTCGGCGTTGTAATCCACCTTAATGCGCTCGGCAGCACAGGCCCATTTTTCTCAAGGACATACCCTGTTAGTGTGGGCACTGACAAATCGAGTACTTGTCGCGCTTTGGCAATTTGCATGAGTGCGATGCAAATTTCCTTCCACCGTCGTCCTATACTCTAGAGAGCAAAATAAACTAAATAACTACAGTTCCAATTTGTCCAAATTTGATGAAAATGAGAATTCGCGGAACGCAAGATGTGCAGGTACCAGCACTTGCCACTGAACACACCTGCTTAATTTGCATGCAAGTCGCGAGTTTATATTTGCATTTGTACAACCGTTAACATGTGGGTGTTCTTTCAAATTGGTACACATAGAGAGCTCTGATGTAAAAGGGAAAAGGGGTTGCTCAAATACACGAGATGTAGGTTGCCTGTGCAAGAACAGCAATAAGTTCGTTGCAGCAAATCAATGCCCATTGACCCAAAACTCTTTGCAGTTAATTGCTAAGCTACAAGAAATCCAATTAAATTATTAATTAGTTCATCAATTTGTGTAAATAATTGCAATTTTGCTCCGTAGGCAATGTCAGAAAAAACAGAAACTTACATGAGTCTAGATAGCTATTTAGAAAAAAAATCAATATAATATTAAATAACTTTCAATGGGATAAAATAAATTTATTTCTAAATAGTTGGTACATAGGGCAAAAAGTTTGGTATTTGTTCAAGGTATTATTTTAGAAGTTTAAATTTATTTTTATTTATTAATAAAAACCACCAAGGGCGTGTAAAGAGCATAATCTAAAAAAGAAAACAAATTCATCTGAAACATTCGCAGCTTCACGTAAAATAAATTTTTTATGAAGCAATTAAAACTTATTTCATTCTTACATAATTTGGAAAAATGTTTCTGTCAAAAAGTTATTTTTTTATACTTTTATAATGCTTAAAAAATGTAACTGTTATTTTACACTTACCCTCACTAAAATCCAAGTTTTACAAGTCACCTTTTAAGAAAATTACCGATATTGCTAGTCTGTAATTAATAACAAATAATATTTATTCATAAATTCCTCTGGCTGGAAATTTACCCTTAAGAAAATTGAAAATATTAATGAAATTGCTAGCAAAGCTGGAGCTTCCATTAGCGAACAGTGTAGAAGAGGATCGTTTTAGTTTTTCTTTGAGTATTCTGTCTGACCCCTGCGCTTTTGTGTTTTCAGCCGGAGTTGTACACGAAGGAAATGATTCTGCAGACGGCCATCGAGGAAGTCGACAATGTGCAGACATGCGGCACTTTAAGCTTCTCTCTGCGCTACGACAAAGACGTCGAGGGTCTCGTCGTCAAGGTGAGCATGCTAATCTTTTCCCTGTTCCCTTCCCGGCATTTCCTCGGCTTAATCTGATCGCGAGCTTTTCAATCACGACGATTTTGCAAGAAGCAGGGATTTGCGTGCCCAACGGAATACCAAGCCGGAAAAGCAGGCGGATAATTGAATTATTAGCATCGAGTATTCAAGGAAATATAAAAAGAAGGTTTTGTGTTATTCAGAAATTGGAAAAGAAAAATTTTGAGGTGATGGGAAACACATTTCTATGTTTCTTTGGATTGAGAAAGTTTGTTGTGTTGTAAGAGATTTTATTGCTGCTGGCGTTTAGTTACAGGAAATAATATTCTATTTAGCCAACAGTTCGAGAGCTGCAATAATTGTAATCTCAAACATATATTACTTGTAAATTTTATATTTTTAATTTAATTCAATTTAAAAACTAGAATTTTTGAAGTAAAAGCAAGTTACATAAATATGTACTTGCATTTTGTTTAAAGAAAAAAACTGTTCAAATTTATGAAACGTAAGCGTGGTTGAGTGATTGCTAAATGTAAATTTAGTTCCAACTGTAGGCAAGTCTTAGTAATAAGATAAATGAGATAAGTAATAAAATAAGCTGAATTTTTATATTTTATATCATTTTTTTTTTTTTTATTATTTATGATCAATTTTGTTAAAATGTTTTTTTGCAATTGCAATAAACTTGGTAGTTTTTTTTAGCTTTTAATAATTTGTTGATTTAATTGAAAAAATTTTATAACTTCTCAAATTGATTTAAGCTTGCAAATTATGACAAAGCAAAAGAATGAACTCCAGCAGAAAAATAATAATATCTGATACCATCAAATAATATAATATAGCTGGTTCTGAGTTGCAATTCAGCACATATATTGATTGTGAACGTTTTCAACAAGGTGCATAATATTTTATTACTTTTAGTTTGCGAGTCCCCTCTCAAATCGATATAGCGCCTTTCAAATCTGTTGCAATTTCGAGAGGTATTGATTATCGCCGTTCCGAATTTCCGCTGGGCGAATCAAACCCCTCAGCAAATTCATAAAAAAAATCGCTCGGCACGTTTCTTGCGCGCGGCAATCCATTGTGACAGGTCGTCAGTGATATATGGCACCACCATAAACCCACTCAGCAATCATAAAGCAGCGCCACTTCCAGTCAGGAAGCTTTGTCGCGCGATTGATGCGTCACCAGTGAAATAAATATACAGGCCGCTGCAAATATTACGCAACAAGAACTTGCGGTTCTACACCAACAAGGGAAATTAAAACCTCCCTCTTTTTTTGGCTCCATTGTTTCGCCCCTTCAGCGCGAAAAAAGAACCTCGTCGCGATTTTCCAGCTCCCTGCTGTTTGCCGAAAACCGCGGGAGCCAAATTGAAATTCCCTTTGACGAAGCTCTTGATTCCCTTTTGAAGGCGCGGAAAGCCTCTCGACAGACTCCATAAGTACTGCTCCGCAAACACAAAACACACCTCTGCTCAAGCCCAATTTCCCTTTCTTTCTTAAAAGTCCACTCACTTTTCTTTGCAAGGCAAAAAGTCGATTTTTTTCAGATCAGATATTTCAATATTTTCCACACGCATTTATTTAAATTTAGATATTGGAGGCGCACGATTTGCCCATCAAAGACTTCACGGGCAGCAGCGACCCTTACGTCAAGGTCCAACTTCTGCCGGACAGAAAGAGGAAGTTCCAGACCAAAGTGCACCGCAAGAACTTGAACCCCGTGTTTAATGAGACCTTCATATTCAGGTCTGTTGGAATGAAAACTTTTCTTTCAAAGTGGACTCCAATGACAGGCAATTATACTTTGCAGTGTTGCTTTTGAGGAGTTGGCCGAGCGATACTTGCAATTCTCTGTTTACGATTTCGACCGCTTTTCAAGACACGACCTCATGGGCCAGGTAAAATGAATTCTATATTTGCTCCCGCAGCTTTGGGAAAGAAAAAAACCACGTCTGGTGCTTATTTTTATATAAAGAACAGCGCAACATTGTAACTTGTAACAGTTGATCTTAACAGAAGCTGAAACTCTGAAAGCATTTAAATGAAAATTTATCTTTTTATTTTATATTTATAAAAATTACATTATAAATATATGTTTATTGTATATTGTTATATATTTTATGTATTTATCAGTATTTTTTAACTTAACTTTTACTCTTTAAGTTTTAAATTCTTCAAATTAGATTTTATATATATTTTTTTTATCTTCAACTATTGGATGCAGTTGTATTAGATATTAAATAAAAGATTTTTCGATAAATACTACAAAAATCCGCACTTAATCATTAAATGTTTGATAGTAACCTAAAAAAGGCAATAAATTTTTGTTGAAGGAAATGCTTATAGAATACCAAAGAATCAGTAATATTTGTTTAGATAGCAATTAATTATAAGAATTAAAAAAAACTCGTATATTTATGGAAGAGGAATTTTCACTCTTACTTTAAACATAAAAACAAATCAGCCGCAATAGTATTAAATCAAAGCCCAAAACGTCTTTGTGAATTATTCTTGATTCCTCTATTAAAATATGTTGCCCTAACAGGAATTTAATAGCGACCAAGAATGTTTCGATTTCCCTCCCTGCAAAGAATTTGTGCCTTGTATGTAACAAAGGGTTTATTTTCCGCATGCAAAGGTCGTGTTTCGAGGGCTTGTGGACCAGAGCGATTTGGAAAAGGAAATTGAGTTCACAATGAACATCATCTCCACGCCCCAGGTAAATATTTTCCGCGTTCTCTCTCGCCGTAAAATATGCATGAACAGCTGCGGAATGTTCCCACTGGGGGCTTTAATTAGCGCTAAATACATGACGCTGCGTGTCAGCAGGAAAAGAAGGCGCTCGGCGAACTGATGCTTTCGCTTTGCTACCTGCCCACCGCAGGACGACTCACAGTCACAGTCATCAAAGCGCGCAACCTGAAGGCCATGGACATCACTGGCTCCTCTGGTAAGTTCATTCTCTGATTAACTGGCCGCGAAATGAGTCCGTGCTTTGCACAAGTTGTGCAAATGCAGACAGTGCTGACGAGTCGATAATTACTGGGAGCACCGCTGACTGGTGTAACGCAAAACTAATTTCCCTTGGTGACGGAAAGCAGGAAACGTTTCTTGTTTCTCTCTCTCAATCCTGTTAATAGAAAAACGTTTCTCATTAAATGATAGCTTGCAATTTATGCACGAAACTAGAAAAAAAGTGTGTCAAATTATTTTTTTAAATTAATTTTTGTAATTCCAAGTAAATATAAAATAATATAAATATAATCCAGGAAAAAGACGAAAACAGAAAATATTTCAATTCCTCGAAAAAGTAATGGCGCGTCTTTTTAATACAGGAGAAGATACTTTTTCAACCGGGAAGGAATAATTATTATCCGATAAGCCAGCTACCGAGCGCTTGAAACCTTGGAAGTTTGCCACCGCATGGCCTAAAATTTGCATTATCCTTTTAGCTATAGTTTAAGTTTAATACCCCAAGGCTCTTGCCAAGAAACCATGTAAACTCTTCAGATTTTAATTTTTAGAGCATCTGTAAGAAGATGTTCCACAGTTATTAAAGTTTGGAAAAAAATTGGAATCGTGTTTTGTTTTAATTGTATTAATAAGAAGTAAACAATCATAGATAAACTAATAATAATTCTCACTTATAACTTCTAAACGAATTTCTCACACTATTTAATTTATTCAAACAAGCATTTAATGAATTTTTACTGCCAGAGAATAAATTGAACAGTCTTTGCCTCCCCAACGCGCTAAAGGGCATTTTCGCACCTAAACTTCGCCTTTCGACACGGCGTCCAATCTTTAATTGAATCTTGTTGAGCATTGAAAGCGGTTTTCCCGAGGGAAAGCAGGCAGCCTTTTGCTCCACTAATTACCAGCGTTTCCCATTTTCATTTCGCCCCCGCTTTCAATAACACGGCAATTCTCGAAGGAAGCCGTGACAGAATAATGCAGCAGCACCTCCGACGCAAAGATGAAAAGCGTCGTTCGGTCTCTCTTTCACCACGCAGAGGTCGATGCTAAAGAGATCAGTCACACACAGGGGGCTAGGCAGGTAATCAATCTTGCCACCAACGCGCGCCTTTATTCACTCCCCGAAAAGGTGCACGACTCCTCTGGTCCTATCATAATTAATCTTCGGCTCAGCCGTCGAGCAAAAAGCACGAATCTGATGCAACTGGTCGCTTCATCCCCCGACAGATTGATTGCCAGTGCCACTTTTTGCCTGTCGGTCTTATGAAGCACCCAACAAGTAAAGTTGGAATCTCTAACTATAAATTTAAAAATAATACACTTTTAAAATAATTAAAATTAGTTACTTCTGAGAAATGGAGAACGGCTTACAAGGTAGAAATCCGCGCCTCGGAGGCTGAGAGTGAAATGGATGCGAATTTTCCACATATGCAACCCGCCAAGCAATAGTGACAAACAGGTTGAATATTTTCTCCAGGCTTTGAAAGCTGCTTTTGTCAGCGACTTATGCGCAGAAAATGGAATTTAGCGTCATTGTGAGCTGCGAGCCTAGCTCTCGCAAAGAATACCTCAAACACACACTTCACTTACTTTGCCAAAGTGTAGGATCTTTCCATTCGGCGCAGCAGTTATTTTCCGTTCATTTCGCATTGAGGCGTCTTCAAGTGGAAAACACAAAAGCATTATGTATACTTTTTCAGAGAAATTATTCTGTGCACAAAAGACACAAAGGCACATCAAACTCTTAGAGACTATATAATGTGCAATGCCTCAAGGAAGCCTCAAAAGTTTTTATTGAAATGAGTTAAGAGGAGCAGCAGGGCAGAAAAACACTCTCGAATTTGGTGCTCGCTTGAAAAACATTTTGCGAAAGTCGCAGGGAAAAGACGTCGGCGCAAGGGCAGTGCGAAATAAAAAAGAATGTATATAATCCGAGAAGAGAGAGAGCGGACTTTGTATTGATGTGCGCGCAACTGGTGGAGCAGTCGGGCGTAATGGCACCCTCGGCGACATGCAACAGCCCCTAATTTCGCTCAGCAGCCGGCCTAGTTGTGTGGTGCGTATATAATTTCATAAAGGGCTTTCCTTTTGTTCGTCGGCATTCCTCCGCACGTTGATTCTGTGGACCGCGGAGGCTTTTCGTTTGGCACACCAGCAGCGAAAATGGGTCATTCATGGGTGCGCGCGCCACAAAACAAGCATCTTCAGAGGGATGCTGCTTTCTGAGAAGCAGGAATACCGCGTTGACACACATAAACACGCTCTGTAGTACATGATTGTCTCGCGACAAATGCACGCGTACGAAAGGAAAGGGGGTTTTTAATAATGAGCACCGTCCCAAGGACGCGCTGCTTTTAATCACAAATATTTACAAAGAAACGAGAGAACGCGATTCAATTTAATGTGTAAGCATCCTTTCTTTGATGTCCTCTGTCCTCATTTTGAATAATTAAAAGTGCAATTATTTTATTACAAACAGCGTATGCTTTCCAATTTAATAATTATTCTTTTGTTTCTTACAGCCCGTAGAATTTTGCATTTTCGTTTTTATTTTCACTGGGAATATTTGCATTTACACTGAATTGTACTTTTAATTAGGACAGTTTTAATGCTTGGAAATTCTGAGGTTCGAAAAAATGTGTTTCAATTTTCAGGCGCTTCATATTGTGATTATTCCTGTTTTTGCTTTTATTAAGTTGATTTAAAATTCAAAACAGATTTTGGTTAAAACTAATCTAAAACAAAAATTATTAAATCCATTTTGATACACAACGTCATCTATTTAATTTTAATAAATTTTATTTAATAATGAAGTTTTGTTTAAAATGAGTTCTTTTGCTCATCACCAAAGTTAAACTTACTGTATTTTTTAAAAATTATCTAATCTATTTTAAAACATTTTATATTGATGAATAATAATGAAATTTTCTGTACATACATATTATTTTACAAAAAATTTAGATCATAAAATAATTAAAATAATAAATTAATTATAGTAATTCATTTCCTCGTTAAGTCGCTACAAAATCAAACATTGTGTTCTTCTAATTATGTAATTAAGTGTGTGACACACTCTCATGAATAGAATTCTACTTATCTTCAAGATTTCACCTTTGTAAGAAAGTGAACAATATTCAACTTGTTTTCTGTTTAATAATAATTATTGTTTTGTGTATCATAGAGTAAACAAAGAAGTCTCTCATTATCTTAAAATTTATTTTCATTTGAAATCTCGTTAATCGAAAAGTTCTAAAAAATATGTACATGTAAGCAAAATATACGTATTTAAAAATTCGTAGTAGTTCAAAATCGTGATTTTTTTCATTTTTCATTTGCTCTTTGAGCATCACTTAATTGGCCTAAAGAGGACAATTTTTAGTTGTGGGAAATTCATTTTATAACACAGCTTCTCCAATCATTAAAATTTCTAATTGCATTTGAATGTGAGTTTTGCACACGCGGAAAAAAATTAGAAACTATTTTAGTCTTTTATTTGCAATGAAAAGAAATTCTGATTAAGGAATAAAAGGCGTCACTGGAAAATTACTTTCGCGACTGGCAATTTAGGAGTGCTGACAAGAAGTTGTCAGCACGCTTTCCTGCATAGACATTGGGAACTAATATCTTAAGTTCGCTGGCAAAGTGGCAAATCTAATCTCGGCTCCAATTCAAGATTCGGCGGAAACTTTTAATTAACACCTCGGGAGACTGCTGGCAGAGCGGACTTGGTCACAAAGCGTCGCGCTCAACTTAAGCAGACGCCTAATTAGCATTCGCAGTAGCTCCAGATTCGAGCAGTTCCTCCGCCACTGTTATGACACGTCGCTTTTCCTAGCATAAATTCCCCGCTGAAACAGATTTTGTCAGCACAAGAAATAAAAGAAAGCAAAATTCGCTAACGTTTCCTTTTTTCTTTCGGCAGATCCGTACGTGAAAGTGTCACTCATCTGTCAGGGCAGGCGGATAAAGAAGCGGAAGACGAGTGTGAAAAAGGCTAACCTCAACCCCGTGTACAACGAGGCGCTCGTCTTTGATGTGCCCTCGGAAAATGTAGATGACGTCAGTCTGCTTATCAAGGTTTTAGATTATGACAGGTGAGTTACCAATCAATTTATTTAAAAATTTGTATTATCCAACATTAAACTGGTTGAATACAAAAATTCAAAGACATTTAATGTAAAACGGGTGGAAAGAACTACAAGGGCGTTTATTTTCCTTTGGAATAGAATTACTATAAGTTAAAAATTTATTTTAATATAATGAATTAATTTCAATATTTTTATCCGCTTTTATCACCAATTTTACTATAAATTAAAGAAGCAACCAGTTTGTTTCTAGTAAGAAAATTTTGGACTGTTTTTAGGGTGGAACAAGCAGTTTTTTTATTTACACGCATTTTCTCTGAGAAACTTGATTCAAAATTATTTCAGAGTCGGCTCAAATGAATTGCTCGGTTGCGCCGGGATCGGAGCACAAATCGCAGGTTTAGGCCGAGAGCATTGGCTGCAGATGCTGGACAGTCCGCGGCGTCCCGTTGCTCAGTGGCACCCTTTGAAAGAGTCTCCGCCACCTCCATTACATCTTGCGTCCTCCTCATCGCCTCCAATTAGCTTCAACTGTCTCAACACAAGGTGATTTTATTTTTTGTTTATATCAGAAAATGGCAGGATTTGGATTAGAGGTTGGGGTTGGGGGAAAGTCAGACTTTGATATTTTATAGGTGGTTGGATATTGAATTAATAAAAAGAATTTATCCTTTTTTTCTCAAATAATTTAAAAAGAGACTATTTGGTTAAAAAGCATATTAGGTCAAAGAGATGCTGTTCTTAAAATGATTAGAGCAATGCTTGTCTTGCTCGGCCGGAAAAAAAACTACCTTCAATAAGTCATATATATGATTTGTGTGCTTGGCAGGTGAAGCGATCCAGAAAAGTTTGGAGGTCTTCACATATGTGCACAACTTGGGGACGTCTTTCCGTCCTACTGGCAGTCGGCGTCAAGTTTCTTCCTTTAACAAGGCCCTCTGTGAATAGAAAGGCCCCTAGTCAGCAAAGCACAAACGCGAGTAGAAGCAGGCACAAGCATAATTGTAAAAAATGTGCAAACTTAAGTGTCTTAGTTCTCTAACATGTATATTTCTATTCTTGATTTCTATCACATCTCATTGTCTAAAGAAGGAAAAAAAGACAATTAATTTAGTAAAATGAAAAAAAAAGAGTTTTGGTGACATTTTTTTCTCACCATGAGGCCTTTGATATTTGAGTTGATTGTTTCCGAAAAGCGAGGCAGCTTTATAGATGCTTAGATTTCGGTCGGTGTTTGGGATTTGTGAAATCTTAAGGATAAGTAGGCTGTAGTGTATTATATATTTATGTACACTGGTGCTCAAGCTACTCTGATTGAAAGTGACGATAATCGCCGGAAAAATTTGTAAAATGAATTAATGGCTCACGCCTGTAACTTCCGATTGCAAGTTTCTATATATGTTTATATTATTCATTTTGATTTTATAGACAATAAATCTGGCCACTTTTTAAGTGGAGTTTAAGGATTGGGGCGCGCAAAAAAAACTCGTTTTACAACAAAAACTTCTCTGAATGTTTAAAAAAAAAACGATTTTATTGGAATATAAATATATATCTCTGTCAGTGTGATTGGAGAGACAATCTCCAAAACAAAGGCTGTCAACTTTGATGAATAAAATATTTATGTTTTTCTATAGCATCAACACTAATCAGCCTAAATGTGTTCAATATATATTGAAAAGCAAAATTTAAATAAAACAAAAATAAAACAGACTTAATTTATTTCAGCTGGAAAATCTTTGCTCATTAAAGTTATTTCTTCAAAAAAGTACTCTTTGTCTAAATAAAAATCATTTTATTAAATTTCTCAACGCATCCGACCAGAACTTTGAAATTATACTCGCAGATCAATTACTAAGGGGGGACAGTGAAAACTGAAGGTGAATTATGATTTTCAAATTCAGACTGTGCTCTTTATAGCGCTGGTCCACTGGAAAAAAATTATTGCGAGATGATAATATTAATAAGTGTCTATCTGTTAGGATACTACATAGTTGTGGGCTACTATAGATGTGGCCTTCAATGTTCATATGGTTCATATTATATATTTATAAAACGATGAATGGTAGTTTTTAGGTTGTTTAGTTATAAATCCACATACAGTACATACATAGATAGCTGAACGGCGTTAAAAGCAGAAACCTTTCCTGTGTTTTAGCAAAATATCTTTCAGAAAATCTGTGTAATTTTGTGCCACAGAGCTGGTGCGGTATGTGTAAGTTTTAAATTTACGCGGAGCTGCGATCTGATTGATGTTGATTTGTCCAAATTTTAGTGACCAAATAAAGTCGTCGGTGTTTCAAGATGCGCTGATTTTATTGCTACAAAACCTCTTTAAAGAGATTTATAGTTACTTTTAAATACATAATTATATTCTTCTCTCAAAATAAACAGTTCTTATATAAATATTCAATTTTTAACCCGACATTTATTTTAATTATTATCTAAATTCTTTTTGACACATTTAATGAATATTTATTACATATTCAACAAAATCGTCAATCTGAGGGAAAACACTTTATATTATAAACGAAGCCAATATTAGAATTATGTTACTCCTGGAATAATTGTTAGTTTTTATATTTTGTTATAATTATAACACAATATATTTAGAATTTTTGTAATTATATCTTTATTTTTGCATTACAACATATATATATTATGAACATTAATTGCTTCAAAGATTTTTCGAACATTAAATCTTAATACACTGTTATCATAATTAATATAATTATGTATACTTCTGGAAAAATGATTAATATTTTTACTCAGATATTTTTTTTTCACCATTTAAGCCTTTTTACATTTATTGCAGTAAAAGTATTTTTCATAATATCTCTCCGTGATACTTTTATTCTGCTTACGACTGGAGATGGCAACCCGCGCCACGACACCATCGTGCCGGTTGCCTATGCGCGTCCGTGTTTCTGGTCGGCGGCCACCTTGGCGCTGTTCGCCAAACGGGCGTTCGCGTAAACATGCGAGCAATTTAAAAATGGCGGACCACTCATATGGGGTTGTAGATTAAAGAAGTGCTAGGGCGCAACTCGCGTGCGTGTAAATAGGCTGTTATTTACATCTGCCGCCGTATAAGGATATGTGTTTATCATTCCGGTAAGTCCTTGATGTTTACGCCCAGCGCCAAGGACCTGTGGAAGACCTACAACGTGAGTGGTCGACCTTGAAAGCGAGGTGCCCGAAGTTCACACTACTTTGTTCGCAGTTCCCGCAGCCGACTCCGTTGTTGACGCGGATCAAGCAGGACTGCTACGAGTACCCCGAGTGCTCGCAGCAGGACTTCTACGCGCAGCAACAACCGCCGGACAACAACAACCTACATGGGGCACCGGCGGGGCCCGGCGACCCGGTGGCCGCACGTCGCGAGGCCAACCGGCTGCAGCAGCGGCGCCGCCTAGCCAACGAGTCTCCGGAGAAGCGGGCGGCCAGGCTGGAGGCCCAACGCATCCAGCAGCAGCTGCGACTCGCCTCCGAGAGCCCTGAGCAGAGGGCCAACCGCCTGCTGGCCCTCAGGGAGCGCCAGAGGTACAGGCTGGCCCACGAAACCGCCGAGCAGAGGGCGGCCAGACTCACCGCCCTGCGCGAGCGTCAGCGAGTCCGCCTCGCCACCGAAACGCCGGTGCAGCGCGCCAAGCGCCTCGAGGCCCTCAGGTCTGCTCGCAACCACCTCAATTATCCCCCCGACCTGGGCAGCAAATTGTTTTTTTTTTCAACTCAGGGTCCAAGGGTTGTTTGATTTTCATGGTTGGGGGCTTATTTTTTTTTACTAAAAACCGTTTTTCAATTTTTTAATTCTCAGACCTGATTTTGCAGATTTTTGTTGAGAATTTTATAATTTTATCCTGACAACCCTAATGGGCCTCTTGTACGGGGTGGTCCCGAACACCAATTTAAACATTTCAGGAGTTGCCTTTTCATGGGCCCAAATTCTATTTTCGACAGATAAAATCCAACTCAGGTTTTCTGGTACCTTTCTACAAAGCGACCTTGGCATATTGAAAATTGAAAACAAGTCTGGAGGCAAATAATCTTGTCATTGCACTTACCGAATAGATGGAAATTTTTATTTTAAATTTCTGAAATTTATCACAGTAAGCGTAACACACATTTTAATTTTTTTCTGAGATAAAAAATTCACTTGACAAGATTTTGTCCTCCGGGAGAAAAATACTTTTTGGCAGTTTCAAATCTCTTGGTATCTCACCACGAAACCTGGGTTTGAACACATTTGCTCTGTGTTACACTCTTGAAACCCAGGTATTTGCCTCATTCACTAATTATCTGAATGTCTGCTGGCCTTCAGGGAGAGGCAGCGCTTCAGGTTGGCCAATGAGACCCCTGAGGAGAGAGCAAAGCGACTCGAGGCTTTGAGGTGATTGGATTTGCCAGAGAGTTTTTGTTTGCCGTCTTCAATATTCTAACACACGCAGAAACAAAATCCAGTAACTGGGCAGCAAAGTTGTTTCTTCCAACGAAAACAATTTTTTAATTTTTTTTTTGCCCTTTTTTATTGAAGTCAAATATATAAAATTAATAAAACAAATTCATTCAGCTATGATTTTTGTGGAAAATTGTGGATAACATTTGTGTGCTGGCCCTTAGGGATAGGCAGCGCTACAGGTTGACCCATGAGTCGCCCGAGCAGAGGGCCGGCAGACTGGCTGGCCTCTGGGAAAGGCAGAGAGCAAGGCTTGCCGTTGAAACCTCGGAGCAGAGGGCTAAGCGTCTTGAGGCTTTGAGGTTATTATTTTCAAGTGGTTATCCCAAAGGGTTGCACTGCATTCCTCATTTCCGCGCAATTTTGCTGCCCAGAATTTCAAAACATGCAAAAATTCGCCTTGTTTTCCAATATTTTCAATTCAAACCCTCATTCGTATACTTTTCATAAACAGCTCATTAAACTGCTCCGTTCATTCCAGGATCCGGCAGCGGCAGCGAATTGCGAATGAGACTCCGGAACAACGTGCCATCCGGCTGGCCGACTTGCGCCACCGCCAACGAATCCGCCTCGCAAATGAAACTCCGGAGAAAAGGGCAGCTCGGCTGGAGGCTCTGCGACTCAGGCAGCAGCAGCGGCTGGCCAGCGAGTCGCCGGAACAAAGGGCCGCCAGGTTGATGGCGGCTCGGATCCGACAGCAGCAGCGTTTGGCCACGGAAACCAAGGAGGAGCGCGCGGCCAGGTTCGCAGGCATCAAGCGGCGGAGGCGGATGAGTTGCAGCACCCAGGGCTCAACCTGCCCCTCCGTGTATGTGCCCCGAAAACCACTGCCCCCACTTCTGAGGTCGCCACCCCCAGCTCCGCCTCCCACACCTTTCCACACACCGCCATCGCCTAACCAAGCAGCAAAACAGGCGTTCAGGAGAACAGGTTTGTTTCAAAAAGAAACTTTTATTATTGAGATTGCTATTTTTTTTATCAAAATTTTATTTCCTTAATTATTATTTTTTCATTTTAATTTGCAGAAATCGCTATAAATTAATGTTGCAATTTAGAATTTTCCTTAAATTATGTTGTAAACTTTTTAGACAAAAAAAATGAAAGCTTCAAATTATTTTCGTTGATTTATAAAAGAAATATTTCATTCGAAACTTGCATTTATATTAATATCCTAATTTGCATCTGAAAATATATTTTAAATTTTACTATTATTTATTTTAGTGAATGTGGAAGGGAGCGACTATTGGTGGGAAAGTCACTTTCTGGTGCCGCAACAGCCTCCAGCGCAACAACAGCAGCCAGCATTCCCGTGGGACTATGTATGTGATTCTGTGTTTGCTCCGTACGTGAGACGCCATCCGATCGCTCCTCCACTTCCGACGCCGCCTCCACCACCCCAGAGTCCCTTCCAGCAGCAGCAACATCAACCTCCTCAGCAGCCGCCCCCGCAGCAGCAGCAACAACCTCAGCAGCATCCGGAGACACAGCCCAAAATGGAAAATCCATGATCGGCAACTACTAAATAAAACGGAGCAGCCCGAATGGAAAGTGAATTGAAGGAAACAATAATGTCTCTAGTCACGCGCGGAATATTAAAATAAGAGAAAAAAAATTATTTGTTGTTTATACACACACATAATTCATTAGGGAATCTCGCAAGAAGTAAAATGTGCTTACCATCTGGACTGTATTTACAAGGAAAAAATTGCCATTATTATGAGTATAATTATATTATTATACGAGTATGATTATAATAACCAAGTTACTAACTAAAGATAACAATGTAAAGAGTACTAAACGTAATGGTTTATGTTGTTAGATAAGGTGATGTGATCACTCAAATGGCCATCATATCATATGTCTTGTATTTTATAGAAATAATAATGTCATAGACAGTATAAAATCAAATTCTTTGAGCTTTATTTTAATTGATCACAAATTGTTAGCGTGAAGCACTCCCCAGTGCTTAATGAGTTGCCAGTCTTGGGCCTGAGCTCCTAGGGTGTTCATCAGTGGGGTTAAATCGCCAGCTGATTTTCCTGTCTGCAGGAGTCTCATCACAGTTCTCGAAATACTAAATGAAGAATTGACTAAAAATATTTTTAAATAAACTCAAATCATCTTACTTAAGCCATTCTTCTTTGAGTGCTACTAAGTGGCAATGAAGAGCCGTCGGAGTCAAAAAGTCATTTTGCAGCGCTTTGTCCATTTTCACAAGCAATGTTGGCCCTGCAGAATAAATTTCAGATACATTTTATTTCAAAAATTCATTTTACATCTTGTTGGTGCTTTCGGCGCTTTCACTGTAAACTTCAGATTATCATTGGTTGGCTTGGCGTTCGGCTCCACCTTTGTAATTTCAACCATCACTACATTTGAGGGCAAAGGAGAGGGCAACTGCACGATCTTTGACACCCCAATCAGAGTGCAGGCAGCTGGTGGAAAATAGGAGCCACTCCAGTATTCAGGCTGAAAGATGGCCCTAGTAACGAGACACTAGAATAACAAATTGGTGAATTTTCAGTGCTGGGAAATATTGAATTAATTCAACCTTAAAACTTTCAATTACAGCATAAGCTAAGGAGGGCCAGTCACATTGAACTATCAACTGGTGTCCAATGAGCAGAGAGTTTGCAGCCAGCAAAAATTGATTCCGTCCCATCAAGGTGTAAAGCTCAGATATTCCTCCAGGAATGGTCGGCCCTAGATCATTGACAAAGCTGAAGTCAATCCCTCTTTTTTTAATAAAATATATACCTATTATTGGGTAGGTAAGAGAGCCACTAGCTTCCAACTCCAATACACCTCTGTGGTCAGCAGTGTCAGCTTTTACAGTCACACTAGACGAGGTTGGTACCAGAACAAATCCTTCCTCCGTCTCGACGCCTTGGCCAAAGTGCCCGATATCTCGAAGAAAAGGAGGAAGGGTTAGCTTCTCCTGCAGTCTATTAGCACCAGCTTTCAAAAGCCACACAAACCAAGAATGAAGTCTAAAAGTAAAATAATAATTTTACTAAATTTTGGTTAAAATATATAAACGCTTACTGATAATACACAAGAGATTCATCAGTCAGCTCAGCAAGCGAACGAGTTGCTTTATTACATTTATTTTCCTCCGATTTGGCACTAGCATTAATTCTCACAGCTCTCTGTGGACAAGCTTCTTGTTCTTTATTGAAGACCTACAGAAATTTAATTTAATTTTTTTTTTATTAAAAATAAAACTTTTTAAATTGTGAGGAAATGCTCACTTTTATAGCCATCTCTTGCAATTCTGAAATAATCGTCTGAATGTTTTTTGTGAGAAATGGCCAAGACTGAAGGAGCATGGGAGCATCAACGGCCAAAACACAAATGCTGTAATTCCTCTGGAATCCTCGGCCTTGCGCGTCTCTAATGCTGAATGCCACTGAGAGAACGTGCCCTCTATCTGAATCCCCAAAGAATACAGGTTTCTCTGGATCATCTTTAGAAACCTATGTAATTTTTTTTAAGTTTATTAACCAATATAAAATTATCTTTTATACTTTAGAAATCTCGCAGCTCAATGATCTAAGGCAAGCATGCTTAACTAGACCGCAAATGGCTGGGATTGTAGGATTTTGTCCACTCAGGTAACTTGTTCTGCCTTCGTGGTCACTGCTGAGGAGACCAGAAATCTTTTGGTCCAGTGATCGGCACGCCTTAAATAAATAATTACAGTTTTAATCAACATCACTAGCATGAAGATAAATAAAATTATTTGATTTACCTCACACAAAGGAATCAGTCCAGGAATATTTCTCAAAAGCTCTAAATTTCCATAAAATCTTTTGTTTGGTGACTTCTGCGGTATGTTTGGCTGAAAATTTAGATTTCAAAATAAATTGAATTCAAAGTTTTAGGAAAATTTTAAATTTATACCTCAGTACCAGTGTGCGAAAATGGCACAGGATCGTGAAACGACTGCGTGCAGAATAAAACTTGAGGGCCGTGTACTTCGCAGAAATGGTTTAGTGTTATGACGGCGTTCATTCTTCCTCCTTTGGTTAAATATCTAATTGCACTTGAAACTATTCAAACGACATCTCGCTAAATAAAAAGTTTTTAAAGAAAATAAATAACCTTCCTGCCTTGCACAGCCCTACGGGTTTGCTTTACTTTTTGTTTGTATTTTTAATGGTGTTTTCGTATTGCAAATACCCATACCCAGCTGGGCACCATACCCCGCGAGTCATGTGATCAACAAATCGCAGCCCCCTGATTGGACAGGTCCACGGCTACGTCACGAGGAAAGCAGAACGCTCGTGACGTCACGTAGTAAACTCCACCTCTTCCCTCATTCCCTTCCCTGTCGTTGCCTCGATTATTGTTTTGTTTTGACGGAGGAGAAATTTCGCACCAAACTTGCCGACGGTTTTGCCGAAAAGTGATCCGACTTTTTCGACCCTGGTCCGTGAGTGCGAAGAGAAAATATTTCTCCTCTCGGACCTGTCAAAAAATACGAAACTCCATTCAAGTTTCCTCAAGAAAAGAGGTTTGAAAAAGTTGCTCTTATTTAGTTTCAATTCGATTTCCAAATTTTGTTATTTTTCCAGGTCATGAACGGTGGATGCAGCACCGGTGAGGAGGACTCACGAGGGCCTTCGAACCAGTTCTGCTGCCTAATCGACGAAGGCGAGCGATGCATTAAATTGGCTGGAAACGCGTCCTACAGCAAGAGAATACAGAAAATCGTTGCCCAACGTAGACTGCGTCTCCATATTGACGACAACGTAAGAAGTTTTATTTATAAAAATTAGACTTTAATTCATTTTTATAACAAACAGGCACGGCATATCTACATTTGCGATTACCACAAAACGATGATTCAATGTGCACGAACAAAGCGCCGCCGCAAAGACTCCGAGGAGGATTCTAATGGGACGGACTCCGAAGTACCTGAGGTTGACTTGTATCAGCTCCAAGTCAACACCCTTCGAAGATACAAGAAGCATTTCAAGCTGCAAACGCGACCTGGTCTGAACAAAATGCAACTTGCAGATGTGAGTGATTTTTTCAGTAGATATATGTAATAAAATAATTTATAAATATGTTGTCCATTCACATTTCAGTTCTTGACAAAACATTTTAAAACTATTCCTGTGGTGGAAAAAGAGGCAACAACGTTCTTTATCTACACCGTGAAATCAAACAGCAACAAACTGGACCAGAGGAATGGACTTTCGGCAGATGCTGTTTAAAATCATTTAAAATTTATTATTTTCTATTAAGTGTATGTGTTTAAGTAGGCTTACTGATTTGATTTTATGCACTTTGATGATTATTTCGTCTTTAAAGATCTGTGTCATTGACACTTAGGTTTACAATAAAACAGCAAGCAGATTATATTTGAAATTTAAACAAACTTTTTAATCGGCAAAATTACCTTTTTTCTTCAATTTTTTTCCTTGAAAAAAGTGTCTTTATCTTAAAATTCACTGCACCTTTGTTCGTCTGCCGGGGGTGGTTCCTGAAATAAATTTTTTATAACTGGCCAATTTTTTTGCTTCAAACTCACTTCTGGAATTTAGTTGCTCAGAAACAATTTCTACGTCATCATCTGAAAAAAAATCAAGGCAATAAGAAGATATTTAAAAGAAACACTTTGAACTCCTACCAATATCATGTACTTCTTGCTTTGTTTCCACCAGCTCAATTTCTTGTGCAGCCTTTACTGTTGAATTTTTTAGCTCCGCCATGCCAGACCCCAAAATTTGGATTTCGTCATCACTGACTTCCTCTTCTTCACTCTCTACTATTTCTTCTGGCTCAATGGAGGGTAGTGGGAGTTTGTGTTTGATGGGGAGGCGAATTTTAGGGACGCCGTGAGAAGTCAGGGTGCCTTGGCGGACACACTCAACAAACCCTCGCTCACTGTTAGTCCCTCTGTACACAAAATTATTAAGTTCATGCACCAAAGTAAATTTGAGAAAATTAACCTCAGCTCGGCATCCTTTGCTAGGGCCTCTTTGATCATGCCTACAACTTTTGTGGCCCTATTGATGGCCTTGTTTGCACACTGCCGAACAATGGCAGGCCCTGACTGTGTGCTGCCGCTCAAGTGAACTCCACACAACTCCTTGTAGCCATTAACGCCAAGGGTTAGTTCCGCCTCAGCTACCCTCTCTTCCATCTCTGTTGGATCCACCACAATATTTTTCCTTAAAAGAGAAAAGCATAAAATCTGCTTTGAACATAAATTAGAGGTGAAACGAACCCCTTGTTAAAAATTGCAAACGAAACGCAAACTGGATAGTGACGGATGCCCAGCGGAATCGGCTCTTTCACGGCTGCCTCGTAAATGATCAGTTCGTCTCCTGTCAGCTCAACATCAGGCCTGCGGAAATGTGAAAGGGCTGCCAGAGCAGCCACCGAGGCGCAGTCGATCAAGTTCCCTTCGTGGTTTAAAATGTTCAAATCAAGCCGGACACACCAAACCTGAAAAGAGGTGTAATTATAAAAATTGATAACAATTCAAAAAGACGGTGCACCTTTTCCTCGGCCACAATGCAAAGGGACTCCAGATCAACACATCGGGAGTCTTTGATGCACTTTTCGAGCAGTCTGTTCAACTGGAGGGAGGTCGTCGACTGTCTTCCCGTTTCAAAATGGGGAGCGCCCATCGGAGAGAGACCAACGTTGATGTGCAAAAGACCCTCGTTGGGTCTGGTAGCTTTTGGCTGCTGAATTTCACACGACACTTGGCCCAAAACTCTGTAAAATCAACTATCATAGTTAAGTATTTGCAATATTTGCATTAAATCAATTTGCTGATTATACATACCTGGTAGTTCCCATTGAGACTTCACAACAGCCAAAGTCTTTGCCAAATCTGATTTGCAAGTCTCGATAGTCAAATACATTCCTTCCATCTAGGCGCTGAAAATTTTACACAGTTCTTGTTTAATTTTTTTACACACTCGTGGCGATAATGGCTTTTGTTGCGATTGAAAGGTAAGTATAAAAAAGTGAAAATTCATCACGTGCGTTTTCTGTCAGATGCAAAATGTGACTATGTATAATATGTATTTTTAATGTTATGGAACAAAATATAATGCAAACCTTATTTTCAGCGATCGCATCGAGAACGAAAGTTTTCTCACAAGTGGAAAGTATGTGCTCCTTCATTTTTAATATTCAAAACAACGAATAATTTCGACAAACCTCTAACTACACGAGGTTAGAAAAGATTAAAAACTCGTAACTCGTCACTCGTCAAACACATTGTTTTCATTCGGGCAAGACTTTCCTATTTACGTTTTCTTTCCGCCACCTGTAGGCAATGAGCGCAACTTCCCCTTTTGCCCATGTGGTTTTGTTTAATTTGTTGGTTGTTGAGCTGAGCTTGTGGTTTGTGGTCCGCCTTTTCGTTCCGCAAAAGTATTCTGCAGTGTTTTTGCCCATTGGCGCTCACCCTTTATTGATATTTAAGTTTCTACCTAAAATCACTCGTTCCGTTTTATCATGGACCAGAAAATATCATTCAAAACCAAACTGGCCCGGAAGAGCAAAAAATACACCAACATTTTGAAGCAAAAACATAACATTGATACGTCGGAATGTGCAACAAAGGTTCTCCTCAATATAATTTTACGATTCTTTTTAATTACCAATATTTTTAATATTTTAATTATTTTATTTTTGTAGTCTGTGGCCATCTGTAACGGTGGACTGACGACAGGTCTTTCCCGGGAAAAAATCATGGACATCTTACCAGAACAACTGAACACTCGCTTAGAAAGCATAGATTTTGTTGAAAACTCATCTGTCACCTTTTTAAGCTGCCGAGACACAAACAGTGCCATCCAGCTTAAAGAATTTTTAAATAACTACCAACTTTGTGATTTCTTCGTCTTATTTGTGAAAGAAGGTTTAAAAGTCTTTGCCTTTTTCTCCTTATATTTTTATGTGACTTATAATAATTAATTATTCTTTTTATTTCCACAGTCCCTGTAATTTCCACAAAGAGGGACCTTGAACCTCCTACAGGCCTTGTATTAATCAAAAATTTTGTCACGGAGGAGGAAGAAAAGGTTTGGCTTGAATCTATTAACTGGGATGCTGCTTCCGACCTCGATCAAGGTTTGATTAAAAATTAAATTTATGATCAGTGTTTTTAATTTCTTCACCCACAGGCCAAACATTAAAGCACAGGCGAGTCAGGCATTTTGGTTTTCAATTTGAGTATGGAACAAACAATGTAAATCCCGATAAGCCATTGAAGGAAAAAATTCCCGAGTCTTGTCGACCAGTAATAGATCGAATGATAGACAGAAAATTAATATCGTGGACACCAGACCAGCTGACGGTGAATCAGTATGAACCAGGCCAAGGTACAGTGTTTACCACCTATGGTGTTAGTTTTTTTTTTCAAAGAAGTTCATTTTGAAGGGATCCCACCTCATATTGATACCCACAGTGCCTTCAAAGACCCAATAATATCTTTGAGTTTGGAATCGGAGGTTGTGATGGAATTTAGAAGAAATGAAAAGTTGATTCCCTTAGTCCTGCCGAGACGATCTCTCTTATTAATGTGTGGTGAATCTAGGTGTGTGTAATTGAAATTTTGTTTCAAAAAGTAATTATAATTGGCAGTTTTTATTGACGGTATAAATTTTGCTTAGGTACTGCTGGACTCATGGTATCACTCCTCGCAAATCTGATGTGACAAATGGTCCTGACGGCAAGCTGACTTTGGTTGAGAGAAAAAGGAGAACTTCCTTTACCTTTAGAAGCCTACTAAGAAAACCTTGCTCTTGTCCTTTTCCACTTCACTGTGATTCTCAAAACCAAATCAGTGAAGAACCCTTGCAATTAAACTGCGACAAAGCAGCATCGAAACTGGAAAATCTACATGTGCACCAAGTAAGGAATACATTAATTTACTCTAAATTTTCTTATTGACAACCCTATTTTGTAGGTTTATGAAGAAATTGCAAACCACTTTAGTGAGACGAGGCACAAACCTTGGCCTAATGTTCTCACTTTTGTTGAAGCGCAAAGTCCCGGCTCAATTATTTTGGATGTTGGCTGTGGCAACGGAAAGTATATGGGACTGAATCAGAAATCTTTCCAGGTACTTTTATTGCTTTTTTAATTGTAAAAAATAATAATGCAAAACATCTTTAAATAGATTGGCTGTGACATGAGCCAGCATTTGTTGAAAATCTGCAGGGACAGGCAGTTTGAAGTGTTCGTCAGTAATTGCCTCCATGTTCCGTTTAGGGACAATTCAATTGACTGTTGCATTTCCATCGCTGTGATTCACCATTTATCCACAGAGGTACATTGATGCTTAATTTTACGTGAAAGGAAGTTTAAAATTTATATTTTTGATTTTAGGATCGTCGACTGAAAGCAATCTCTGAAATGGTTAGGGTTTTGAGACCTGGGGGTGAGGCACTCATTTATGTGTGGGCGAAGAACCAATTTAAGGATCAACAAAAGTCCAGCTATTTAAAGCAATCCAATAACAAGCCAAGTGAGGGGAAGCCTTTTGCTCCGAGCACCCCCTTCTCCCTTCCAGTTCACTCCAACAGAACCCAATTCTGCCACTCAGACCTGCTCGTGCCCTGGAAATTGAAGCACAAGCAACGTAAGTGAATGCATCTGTTTCATATCTTTCCTAAACTTCCTTTTGTTTTTGTGTGAGTCTTTTTAGAGAATAAAAAACTTTGATAACAGAATTTTAAATTTAAATGTCAAAATAAGTAAATAAGTCTTATAACTTAAAAATTCATCTTGCGGATGAAGTCTTCAACGAGTCAAATAAATTAAGGGATCTAAATATTTTTGGTGCATGTGCCACCCCATCAAGATTAATGTTTTTAGCTTTTAGTTCTATAGAAAACCATAATAATTATAAAAATCCTTTCTTGAGCTTGGGGTATCATGATATGTGTATTAGGAAACGCACAGCACATTGAAACTCGATCTCAAAAGCCCTGCAGCTTCCCGCTGTATTAAATTCAAACCTCTAGCTTGTATCACATGATGTCTGTGCTTCTGTTCCATGCATTTGTGATGTCCTTGGAGGATGATTAAATTTTGAATGGGTTGCACAGTTTTAGACTAATTGCAAGTTGCAACTGTAATTATATATTTGTGAAAATTGTGGATATAATATTAATGTCATTTTATTTATATCAAATATCTGAAAAATATTTAAAAATTGTCATCAGATAATAATCAATAATCCCTCCGTTATTTATGGAATTTTTTTATTAAAAGGATTTTTTCTTTTAGATATCATAGGATGGATTTGATTAATCAGGAATCGAGGTTTTAATAATTTACGCATATATTCAAATTTTAAGATATACTTTTTTTACTATCTGCGTTAACAACGTTTGTGAAAAAAACTTCGTATATTCCAATTTAATTGGGTGAAATAAAATGTAATGGGTCGCCCGTCGCTTCAATTTAAAATTTACATCAAACATGCAGGACTCTATTTTATATAATACATTACGGACAAATCCTTTATGAGACAAAAGTTATAAAGCAATTTCAAATTGCATTATAAAATTCATTAAAATCATTATATTTCAGTGGAAAAAAGGTGGTAACAATTTATTAAAAATAAAATATTTGAAACCGAGTGCTACAGTGATTTGCTAATATTTATATAAAAAAAATAATCAGTGACCTCTGTGTAATCACCGGTAATCACGTTGGACAAGGGCCACATGGGGATAAGAGTAGAAGATATTAAAAAATACAAATACTATTATAATTTTAGTTAAATTATAACAGAACTACTCAATAGCAGCTCAATAGGAGAAGATTATCTAAATTATTTCAACTTCGGCACGAAAAATTTTCCGAAGGCAATTTTATGCTTTTTGTGAATCGTAAAATAATTTTCACTGTTGCTATAGCAGGCACCGAGAAAACTTTCAAATGTCCCAACCTTGACGCGCGCGCAATCACGGGGGATGATGGACTACCCTTATATGGTCTCATCCCTGATTGGCATTCCCCCTATGTTGACGTGTACCCCACTTATTTTCACTTTTCACGTCATTTGTACATTTTTCTGCGTGTTTTGTCTACAGAAAAAACTGACGATAAGGAAGAGGAGGTTTATTTTCGTTACTATCACATGTTCGACGAGGGTGAGCTGGAACTAGTGTGCAGCCGCGTGACCGACGTACACATTCAAAGGAGCTTCTACGACCAAGGCAATTGGTGCGTCGTGCTGAAAAAAGGTGCTTCTAAATTTTGAGACTCCAACTATTTCCAGTGAAAAATTCCACAAAGTTATTTTTAGACGTTTTTGCATCAATCAGAACATTATCTAGTTCTGTATTTAGTTGGGATTTTTACAGTGACGCACGTGCATGGTGTTTAGTTAAGTAATTTACGAGGTCTGCGGATGCGTTTACGGAGACAAGCCCATAAGTGATAGCCACTCTCTCTCCAAAGGCTGGTGTTTCCCATCAGGCCATAAGTCTGCGTCACGACTCAGTCAATTTCGCGCTCCTCTCGTGACGCAGCCGGTCTCATTGAGAACTTTAATGTAAAAAATATAGCTGGCAGAGTTTTGTCCGCCGACTGAAACCGGTTCCCCGACGCTTTTCGCTGCACCACCATTGCAGACTCTTGAGACTTTGTTTATATAATATTGGACAAGGCGGTACATTTTTCAGTCCAGATTTTAATATTCATGCGTCAATGATTAGTGCGAGCTGAATTATATTTTGTTCCAAGGCCTGCTGGTTAAAACTTAGGAGTTTACTCTAATATGAAATAATAATAAGTATTTTTTTTATCTGTTCAGCAGAACCTGTTTTGATGTTTATTGACCTTGGGACACTAATGTAAAAAAATAAACTTTTGATATAAATAAATTCTTGTAGTGTGCATAATATTAAATCAAAAAATGATTTATAACTTTTGGTTATGCAAAGTTAATTTAATTAATAATTCCGTTATATTGCATGATACCCATCTCTGCAAATATGTATATTGAAACTTTCGAGAAGGTGTTTTGCCGTTTTGAACGCAATTCAATGACCTTGCGGATTTCACGCCACATACCTGCAACTCCTGTTCGCGCGTTGATGATAAATGGGTAATTTGCGGTCTGTTCTCTACAGGTCAGAATAAGAATGTCACTTCATTTTAAAGGTTTCCTTCCGTTGGAACCAAATTCTTTAGAGCTGAATTAACTTTCATTGACCTTTCAATTGTTTAAACCAAGTGGCTATTTATTATAATTTTCATTACATTAAGGGGAAAAAACGTGTTGACCCAATACTAGTGCACAGTACACACACTTTCCTATTATGCAAAGTGCTCTCAAGTAGTCAGTCTGAAGTAATATTATACTGCTTAAATTTTATTGTTATTGCATATTTTTCCTGGTCGGATTTTGCACTATCATTTTTCTTGTGAATCACAAAGTCATTCATATTGACCTCCCTCACTACTTGATTTAACGGAGCTAGTGCCAAGAACTACTCCCCAATTGCATAACGAGACGGCTGTGTAAATTTACTAAATTTAAGTCCCCCTCTCGCCCTTTGCCTCTCACCATGTCATGTCTTTGTTAAGTGCTATACCAGCATGGGGCTAGGACATTGGAGCATTTTAATTTACACTTGGTGTATTATCACAAGTGAATCACCAAAAGCAAAGCAAAGGCGCGCATCCTATCTTATCAACACACAGGACAAATGGGCTCGGAGGAAGAGTGCGCATGTTTTGGGCTGCGCAAAATTTTTATTTTTTATTGCCAATTTTTCTGAGGCACACCATTCAGTTCGCCATTTGTTGCCCTAGAGAGTCGCATCGGAGATAAGAAGATAAATCCAACATAATTGCAGGTGCCTACTAGCGGTGAGAAGAAGGAGGCCGCCGAAGATAATGGAGGGGGAAATTATAAAGCAAGATGAGGTACAGACGAACGAAGCAGTGGCCTACGAGTTTGTATCTCGGCAGGTAGACGAAGACGAAGTGGACGCGACTTCGGCAGCAATGCCTCTTTTCAGCTCTTTTTTTGGAGTGCCGCGCTTCAAAGTGCACGTCACCACTGGAGACAAAGCTAACGCAGGTGAGGATGATAATTTTAAAAATATTCACAAGTCGATTAATTCAAAAACTTTGCTCAATATAATATTATTTAGATGTAAAAAAAAAAACTATCTCAATGCTTCCAAAAAAATATTAATTTTATTGCGTCAATTTTTATTGAATGCAATAAGAGGATTTGCGGTATTACCACAATCTAAATGGTTGTGTGTTTTATTATTCATGATGATAAGGTGGACTTTTTTAATTGTGTGCATTTGGACGATTTTGCAATATCTTTTTGTTTGCGCAGGGACGGATTCAACAGTATTGCTCAGATTGGTAGATTCAGTTGGTGCTAAAACCGAATGGACGAGATTAGACAAATTCTTCACCAATGATCACGAGAGAGGGGAAACGCATACCTATACATTGCCGGCACAACAATTGGAGCGTCCGGACGACATCGCGTTTGTCCAAGTGCGACGAAAGTCCACACTCATTGACGATCACTGGTTCCTTGATAGAATTGAGGTAAATTATTAAATTAATTTATCTAGAATATTATGTAACATATAATTATTTTAAAATTAGTAATTAATAAAAGATAAAATAATTCAATCTTGAAATTTTTAGCTGGAAGATACAACCGAGAAATTCAGTTATGTGTACCCTGTGCAACGGTGGATCAAGAAAGGAGTCGACTACAGTCTTTACCAGTACGATGCGTTCTTGCCATTCCAAGATCCTAAAGAGGAACTCAGAAAAACTGAGCTTGAAGAGAAAAGGCAGTTGTACCAGTTTAAAGAAACCATTCCAAATGGACCCAGACAGGTTAAGGATTTGCCGAGTGACGAGGAATTCTCATCAGATGCAAAGGTGCAGTTTAAATCAAATTTCACAAAGAAAAATTGTTCATTATCTCTTTTTGTTACATTTGAAGGCTGACATTGTTATTGAAAAAGGAAAACTGCTGATTCGAAAGCTGTTTTTGGAATTCACTACACAGAAATGGAAGTCGTTCAACGACATTCAAAATATTTACTTCCCAAACCAATCATTACCAAAACCAGCCGTAAGTTATTAGCAATTATGTATAATTCGGGTTTCTTAATTATCCTATTTCAGTGCATAGAGTACTGGAAAGATGATAAATGGTTTGGCCTGCAAAGAGTACAGGGTGTCGACCCCGTCCTTATTACATTGTGCAAATCTATTCCAGAAAAGTAAAAGATAAAACATAAATTATTGTGCATCCCACTAAAAAAAATTTAAATGAAATGACAGGTTGGCAGTGTCTCCTGATATGGTAGAGCCTTTTTTGGAAAGCCTGAGCCTGCAGGATGCTTTGGACAACAACAAAATTTTCATGATCGATTTGGAGATCCTGGACGGAATTACTTGCAAAGTAGACAAGGTAACGATTTTTTACCAGTATAATAGAATTTGTTGTTTATAACCATATTTTTCTAGTTGGTCTCGCCCATTGCTCTTTTCTACTTGGACAAGTCTGACGAGTTGCTTCCGATCGCCATCCAGCTATTCCAAGAGCCGTCGGATAAAAACCCTGTTTATTTGCCCAGCGACCCAGCCAATTGTTGGCTCTTGGCAAAGATGTTCTACAACATGGCAGAAGCGCAACACCACCAGGCTTTCACGCATTTGGGTATTTAGAGTCTTTGATTGTTTTGAGTCGACGTGTTGTACTGAGTGTTTGTATTTATGAAATAGGAATGACCCACTTGCTAATGGAAAGTATAAGTGTAGCAGCACATAGGAACCTTTCCCCGTCACATCCCATTTTTAGACTGCTTGCACCGCACTTCCTGTACCTTCTTGCTATCAACGCGTAAGATATATAATTGCAGTGTTGTGAAACTAGCATTTAATTTGTATTTTTATTTTCACATTTTCCCACAGGCGTGGTTTGGAGAAGTTAATTTCTAAAGGAGGATGGATCGACTTAGGCATGACTGTTGGCCGCGATGGAATGTTTGAACTTATTGCCAAGGGGTAAATTATTATTTTTACTGGTAATTTCAGACGTTTTATAAATATTTTCAGATTCCAAAATTGGAACTTGCAACAGTATGGGGACGTTGAGAATGAGATTCGTTTGAGAGGAGTCCTCGATCCGGAGATTCTTCCTTACTATCCATACCGCGACGATGGATTGCCTCTTTTTGAAATCATAAAGAAATATGTCACCAACATAGTCAACTACTATTATGGTAAGCAAGTTTTATTTCCTAAATATTTTGCTTATTTACGTTTCTTTTAATCGCACAGATAGTGATGAAAAACTTGAGAGAGATTACGAAGTGCAAAATTGGTGCAAGGAAATGGCAACTCCTCTATCGGAAGATGGCCTAGGTATAGGAGGAATGCCAGACAAGTTTGAATCTGCAGACCAACTTGCGGCCGTGTGTACTGCTGTGATCACGGCTTGCAGCATGGGGCATGCTGGGTCATTCCAGCAGTACGAGACTTACGGATTTGTGCCAAATTATCCGGGAATCCTCCTTAAACCTCCACCTGAATCAAAGGTAAAAATTTAAAAATAATACAAAGCAAACTTTTTCCTATGTAAGATTTCATCTTTTTCAGATGGATCTGGATGATGATGACTTGTTGGAGTACTTGCCAGACAAAGAAACCACCTTATACATAATGGTAATAGCAAAATCCTCAAAAATAAATTAAATTGATTGATGGATTGGTGTCTCGTTCAGGTCATCACAAGTCTGCTGAGCAGAAAAGGCACGCAGAGTTTGGGTGACTTTGAAGTCCAGTACCTGCACGAACCTCCAGCCGTTCACATTGCTGACGAGTGAGTACAATTTTAATGTTTCTCAAAATCATGCAACACGTACTGATTTGCAAAAATTTAATAGATTCCGCCTGGAATTGAGCAAATTGTCACTTCAAATGAAACAGCGAAATCGGGAACGGAAATTCAAGCATGAGTGGCTTGATCCAGATATTGTTCCTAACTCTATCAGTATTTAAAATCAGATGTGCAGATTGCGTGGCAGTTAATTTATTTCCAAAGCGTAAATGTTAAGTGGGAGGACAAAGTATCTAATTACTTTTTTTATTTTTTATTTTGTACCTAAATTCTATGACTAATTACATTTGAATTTTTGGGTGCTGTTCGCTTGGTAACTACAAATAAATAGGGATTAAGTATAAATATGTTTAGATAAGACTGAATAAAGGGAATAATGCACTTGGTGCCAAAAAGATCTTCTTTCTGTTGAAAACATTTCAATTTAGAATTAAACGGAAGTAAATGCTTTAAAAAAATAATTGTCTGGAAATGCGTATCAGGTGGATAAATTTAGAGGAGTTGATGTTATCTTAATTTCAACGTCACGCAAGGCCGTGGAAGCTGAGCGCAAATTATCAAGATGGAATAAACAGCGTCTGCGTTCAGATTTAATTTTTCTTTATTTTCTGCACATCGCTTTTAAAATTTTTTTGGTTGCTGCTCTTGTTCTTCCTGGCCAAGACTTTCATTTGATTCAATACTTGCGCCTGGAGTGACTTGGTCAGCCGTGGCCGGTGTCATTGTTTCGTTTTCGTTTGCCCTGGAAATGGCCTGACTCACTGTGAAGAGGCCGACTGGAACGTGACTTGCCCAGTCCGCAGCTTGGCGAGGCGGTGTCGGTTTCCTTTCGATCGCCGCGTCAATCACTGCGCTTGGTGCATAAGCATGCTCATTGAAATTATTTTCAGAGTCTTCGTCCCTCAAAGTAGGCGTCATCACGCCAACCTTCAAAATTTAATTTAATAAACTGATAAAAGAAAAAGTTGAAAATCCTCCTTACTTGCGACGTGCGTACATGGTACGGGAAATTTGCGTTGGCCCGAGATGGTCTTGTCAGCACCTGATTTTGATTAAACGTAAAATTCTATAAAAATTTAGAGTAATTTCTCATTACGCAAAATGCTATGTGTCCTGCCAGAGCTATTGTGTGTGAGGCAGCGCACCACACAGTTTCCCTAACCCACTTGTCTATCCACAAACTTGAAGCCAAAACTAAAAGCGGCCCAGAAATGAACCTGGATATTAATAGTTAGATGATATAATTTTTTCTTAATTATTTAATTTTACGGACCATAACGCAGCAAGAGTAGCGAAGCGTTTGTAAAATTGTTCCTTCGAGCCGGCGCCGCTTGCCAGCGTCTGAGCCGTGGAAAGGAGCGCCCTGGCCCAAGCGATCAACCTCAGGCCCGCTAACATGTGTCCGACGGGCGACTCGTACAAATATAAAACATCACCTGGGTCAAACAGCTAAAAGATTTTTATGAAATTTAAAATAAATTTTTTTAACTTAAATCTTAACGTCTATAATTTTTTTTGACCTGATTTTCCCAAGCAAAAAGTGCAATTTGTCCCGACGAGTAGAGGCACATGAAGATGGTGAGTCGGATGGCGGAGCTCAACTTGAGGCGACCTTTGGTGACTGTGTAACCCTGAGCCAGCAGCAACAGCATGAGCAAGAAAACATTCTCGCTGGCCGCTTCAAAAAATCGACCTAATTGCAGATTAATTCGATTGATCTTTGTCATTTCATTAGAATAATATGTTAATTTATTTCTCTTGCCTGCGTCTTTAAGAAGTGGGTTTCCGATACCGTCGCCTGCGTATCTGGCGTATGCTAATCCGAGCATTCCAATGCCCACAGTTTGAAGAGCGACAGATACGATAAATTGTCTGTACGTTGTATGCAGCAATTGCCGCGATCGCAGCTCAACTTAGACAGGAAATTTTGATTAATTTCATTATATGAATTGCAGTCATTATATTACCGGCGAAAATCAATACTGCGAAAAGTAAAATCACGTAGACAAAAAGAAAAAGTATAAGAAGTGGAAGTATATCTGGAAAAGAAATTATAATAATTCATTGGAAAATTTAGTAAATTTTGATCCTATACAAAACTCGTCAGCGGAAAAGTGGTGCCGCCAATAATCCTCAGGAGGCCCATTGGTCATTTGAAATTTGTACTGAAGACGAAGGCCCTAAAAATTGCATCAATAATTAAGTCAATTCCTTCGGTAAAAATTATTGTTTTAAAAAAAAATCATGTATAAGCAGATACAATTTTTAAATATTAAAAGCGCCTCCAAATGAACCGATGCAACCCGCGCAGCAGCTCTTTTTAATTAATTATCAGTAAAAAGTTAATTGGCGCACCTTTGTAGTGTTGCAATTGCTGATTGCTAAAAACCACCACCTCTCTCGTGCAGAACGGAATCTTCTTTCGTTGACGCATGTAATTGTGTCATCCTCCTCGGAGCAACCGGAAAGGAAAGGTGTTCTCGGTGATAGAGAAATAACTTGGTTTTGCCCTGCGGCCATCACCGCTTCTTTTTCCCTGCATGTCTACAAAATTCTCAGCGTTTTGGTTGATTCAATTTATTCCCAGCAATCATACCTTATTTGTTTTATAAACTGCTGGCCACTGTGTGTCAGTATCGTAATATAAAAGAAGATTCTGCACGGCATATTTCTATAAGGTTGACAAAGTGAGTTTTGCAATTACATTTTATAAATTCCTACCCTCTCATATGTGATCGTGTACTGGAAAATACCTTCCTCGGAAAGGAAGCAAAACCTAGCTACAAACGCCCAGTTCTGTAATAATTAAGAGTGCAATTATTATATTTTTAGTTAATAAAAAATTTGATTTTTATGCAGGGATAAATTTGATTATAATATACATGTTCCGCCTTTCTCCGCTATGTACTAAAATATTTTACCTCCAGCGTCTCAAGCTCTCCTTCGATATACTTTGTCTGCACAGCATCAGGTAATAAGAAGACAATTGCAGCTGCCACAAAACTTTTGCACTTTGTGCAATTTTTTATCATATTGCAGCTGTTGGTATAAGTGCACTCTCTCTAACCCAGTACGCCTATCACTTCAGTGTTTTGACTATGTTGTACTCAATTTGGTGGTTGTCTTGGAGACGGAAAGCACCAACAGAACTCATATTTTTGCTCCGCGTGACAAAGCTTACGTCAAATTAACGAGCATAGCTAAACACGAACTTTAACAATCACTTTTTCTCGTCATTCTTTGATTTAATCACTTGAGTGAAAATTTTATTTTCCAAATAAAAGGCACGGTACATTGGTTTTTGCAAATTTATATTTTTAGATTAGATCGAGCAGTGTGTTTTTTTTTTTACTAGCTGACATATAGGAAGCTATACACAAGAACATATCATATCATTTGTGAACCATATTATAATTTGAAACAACTTCATTGCACCATCAGAGAGATTCATGTCATTAATTTTAAAATTTTAAATATAATTCCAGAGGCCATTCAATGCAGATAGCTTAGTTCCAACTTCCAATATTGGCTGCAATGTCTAAATTTGCAGATAAGATTATTTTAGACTTCCGAGATCAAGTTTAAGTTTGCGCACATCTAAAAAACAAAAATTTTAAGTCTGACCCAGTCTGACATGGTTTAAAGAAAAGTGAGATCACAAAGTGCGGAACTTCTTAACAAGTTTTTAGAATTGTAATTACTGACAAAATTATCAGCAGACTGGAAGAACAAAACAGTTTTTTCACTGATGCTATGGAAGAAGTCTCAGACAGTCATTTGCAGGTTTTGCACAACTGTACACCAATCCAGTTTTGATGGAACCAAGTAAAAAGCTGGTGACTGCTTCACACCACAGGGACATTGGCATCCTACAATTAAATTTATGTTTGAGCTACTTTCATCACACATTGACATTTTCTTTACCAGAAACCCACGAATAAGCTCCAAGTTTGACTTTGCATTTGGGGCAGAGTAGTTTTCCTTGTGGCTGGTGAGAAATCAAGGGCTGCATCCAAGCCAAGGGCTCGACAAAAAGAGTTGCGTTGCAGGTTTTCCCAGTTCCTTCAGTTTCTGCTGGAAGAACTGGCTGAATGCTCCCAGAGCTCTTTTTCCTCACGCTGTTAACTCTCTTTGCTTGCCATCCAATGCTGTCAGAGGCGACATGATGTGGAAAAACGTTTGAAGCTGAAGCTATGACCCTCCTGAGAATGTGGTAATTAAAATTATATATATTAAGACTTTTTCTTCAACTTGCCTGCAGTGACGGCACCTGTAGACCAATGGCTCTGGGTGTAGTGTGGCAAGAAAAGGATCAGGCTTTACCACATCCAAACAGTCTTGGGGCAAAATTTTTGCTGAGAATATTATTTATTTGAATGAGAAACTTCAAAGCTGTTAAAATTACCTTTTCGAACTTTATCCGAAGCTATAGAGAGTCTAAAATATTTGTATTTTGTGTGCTTTGGATCGATCTGCCAACCCATTTCAGCATAAAGCCGCAACTGCGCTTCAAAGCCAGGGTTAGGTTGAACAAATCTCCTCCTCTGTAGCAATCTTAAAAAAAAATAATATTTTAAAAGAAATGAAGAAAAAGCAAAGACAAAGAATTCTCTACCTTTCCATTGCTTCGTCAAAATCGATTCCATATTTTTTCATTAAAAAAGCCAAAACTAAAGTTGCACTTCTTGAAACGCCGTAGTAACTAAATAATCAATATAATAAATGGGCAATTCTTTTAAAGCTTAATATATATTTACCAGTGTACAAGAACGACTCCAGATTCCATGGCTTGGTTAATAAACTGAACACCATCATCAAAGTGTAATATTAATGCTTCCTTTTCATTGTCTGTGACTGCAGAATAAAATTAAAATATATTATTGTACTTATATCACAATTATAATTCATTTCATCTCATTCATACCTTGAATAAATTTTGTTTTAATATATGAAATTTCTGTGACTGAACGAGGCAATGGTACTGAATCGACAGTGAGAACATGATTAACTCCATGAAGCTCAAGCATTTCCAGGTCGAGAGCTGTTGTCAAATTTCCTAAAATTGATTGGATATTAATTAGTCACATTGAAATGGACATAATAAAAATAAGATCAAAATATTCATGAGTTTACATAATAATAATAATTATTAAGATTTACCTAGCAAGAGTCCTGGTTCAATGACATCAACACTGGGCGGTCCAGCATCAAAATCGTCCCTGCTAAGTTGATCGCCACCTTTCTTCTTGGAAATTTGCTTGGCCAAGGACATTTTTGAAGCAGAACCCTCTCCATCGTCGCCCATCTTTTCACTGACGACAGCTTTTCAAATGTGTCACATAAAGGCCCCAGCATTTGGATACCTGCAGAGGTTAAATAATCTATTATTCATGAGCATTCAAGGGAATGAGTTTTTCCCATACAACATCCCACATAACCCCTTGCCCCGACTTTTGTTGACAAAAATTGAACAAAACCCTTTTTCAAAATTCCTCCACTCTCGTTGGTGCTCATTGGTTGGTACATCTGTGTTTTGCGGACAATGATCTCGAATGCGATTGGCTGAAATTATATTGCCAACCAAATAAAATAAGAAGAATGCATATTTTATCAAATATACGTCAATTAAATTTCCAAATAAAACTTCTTAACAAAATTTTAGCATATTTTAGGTTAATATTATTAACTAAATAATCGAAATCGGTTAAAATCTCTATAAAGCAATTCTAATAAATTCTTTGTCAGTTTTGCAACATTGAAACCAGTTGTCACAGGTGTAGGTCCAAAAAAAGGGGCAGGGCTAAATACGCACAGTTCCAGTTCCATTGCAATAAAAGCTCTCGTGTGAGAATTGGTGTGTGCGGTAAGTCACATTTCATTTGATTTTCCATCGTTCTCTTATCATATCTACGACTCTCTTATCTACAATGAAATCTGCTCGTAACCTTCATTCAGAATTGTGATTAAAACGCTCTTGAAGTTATTTCAAAGAGCTACCCTTTTGCTGTTTGGACAGGAATCAACACTCAACTTCATTTTTTTTTCAGAGCCAAAAATGTCTGTCAAATTGTTTAGCCGCGAAGAAGTGTCTACGAAAAATGATGCCAAAAATACCTGGCTTATTATCGACAACTCTGTGTACGACGTCACCAGTTTTTTGAACGAGGTATATAAGGAAGATTGCAAGCTATTTTAAAGTTCAATTAACTCTGCTCAGATACTGGGCTTGCGGAAACCCATTAGTCACGTTCAAGGTCGCACGACTCGCTATATTTATAAATGGGCACATTATTTTAAGAACGGCCACATTAATTAGAAAATGCTGCTTGTCTGTAACTTTTACATACTCCAAGTAATTTTTAGTAGTTTCACTCAAATTTTTAGCTTTTAAAAGTCATCATAATAAAGAAATAATATTCCCCAAATTATAATATGCTTAGCTCCAAAATTATTTTTGATTCGCAGCACCCTGGAGGAGAGGAGGTACTTTTGGAACAGGCTGGTCGGGATGGAACTGAGTCGTTTGAGGACGTTGGTCACTCTTCTGACGCTCGTGAGCTGATGAAACAGTACAAAATCGGAGAACTCGTCGAAGTAATTATTCCCCTTTTTTGTAAATAAAAATTTGAGATGACTAAAATAATCAAATTAACAGGAAGACAGGAAGCAACAGCCATCAAAAGAAAATCGCTCATGGGATTCTGAAGATGGAAGTGGCAGGTGTGTTTGCTGCTAGAAACATTTTTTCATGGGACACTATTTTTATATGCTGTAAAAAAAAATCAAAATCTATTTTCATTTTCAGCTCTTTCCGATCGTGGTTGATTCCTGTGACTTTGGGAATCATAGCGACAATCATCTATCGTTTCTTCCTCGGAAAGTAAAGCCCTGCTACCTCAACAGCCAGTTATTCTCTGATAAATGAAAAATATCTACGCTGTACTATGTCCACAATTGTGCTAAACTCAGTTTTTAGTTAATTGGCCACTTGCTGCATTTAACTTGTTAATATATCAACAACTTCCAGCACAATTGTTGTATACCTTATGTAGGCAATGTTTGTATTTTGTTCAAAACGGTGATTTTTCATTCAAAACGGTTTATTACCATTATGTCTTGTATATTTCAAAATTGGGAGTCCCAAACGGAATTAGGTTGTGATAATTTTGAAAACGAATAATATTGAAAATCAATAGCATGTTATGATGGAGCCATTCCTTGTATTTTCAAATAAATGGTAAATTTTTAAAACCACTCTTTAAATTACTCCAGCCCTGCTAATGTAAGTACAGGATTTGGGACTATCGAATTTTCGATAATCAGACAGCTTTGGACAAAAAGACTGGTTGCACAGTAACAAATCATTTGCAATCATCATATTCAAGAACTTTTATTAATTAAAGCCTAAACATACCAGATTTCAGTTAATGATGACTGTCATCAACATAACTTTTTCATTTCTGCTAATCATATTTAACACTGATTTTTTTCCTCAATGCAGCAAACACCAGCTTTAAAAATGAAATTACAACAGTGATTTTTAAAGATAATAATGGGAATGAGTTGGCATCTACAGGTGGAACAAAGCAATTCGCCTGTCCAAGAAATTCCATTATATTAATATATCAAGAGGTGCAAATGCATTTTCTCGTTACTTTTACTGTTACACTTATTAATTCGTTCATTCAACACTTCTGAGCTGCAGGATGTTGGTTTAATTCACAGCACTGAGCCATTGACAAAATCTTGAGCCCATGGTTTGGTCAATACCAGTGCCTTACTTTTCGCACAAGAAATTACGGCACAGAGCGAGCCAAGTGTTCTCCGAATGCATCGCATAGCCAGTGGAGAACATTTTCATCTCTTGAAACTCAAATAGAAGACATGTTAGATTGAGAGTAATAAAATTAAAGGAAAGAATAATTCACTGGACCCAATTTATACAGGCACAGTCAGGTGGGTGTGTACCATGCTTAATTTCTATAAGTAGCCGACTGTCCTGTGAAAACAGGGGGAGGGGGGTGAAAGTGCTGTATAGCACCTCTAGAAGTAAAAACGTTTGACCACTTTCACAGCATTGGATGTTGTTGCAAGACAGAAAATGCACATGATTTGAACAACATCCCAACAAATAACATTCACGTCCAGGAAGGTTCGGTTTTAGTTTTGATAATTATAATAGTAATATTTTCAAAAGAGATGATTCAAAGTAAGGTTATATTTGCATCGCCTTTTTGCGAAAGGATAGTTGATGCTATCAAGTTGAGAAAATAAGTTGTCTCACATCAAACAAGCAAGGTCAAAGAAACCATGGCAGCAGTCACACTAGATGAGGCGTCAGACTAAAAGTAAGAGCTGAAAATGCTCGATTTCCTGCATTTCCTTGACAAAACTTGTGAGATGCTTTTGCGTTCAAATGATTAAATTTAAGAAGTTAATGCCCCTGTGGGATAATTTCTCATTAACTGGTCGCTTCGAAATAAGTTTATGCTTTAAGATCGCTTAGCGTTTGCCATTGTTGTAGCTGAGTCGCAGTGGGGTCTTGAAGTTGAGGGCAGCCGTCTGTTGGATTTGGTAGGCTATAGGATGAATCTTGAATCCATACAACCTAGATTTTTGTTCCCTATTAATAATAAATTCGGAAAGTGGCGCATTGAAAATTCATACCTGGGCACAAATTGATTTGATGGCCGCTTGGGCCTGTACTCTGGATGCACCATGAAGAGCATGTGAGGGAAACCAGTCCCGAAATAGGCTCCATCTGTGTGGTGGTGGCGCGAGCTCTTAGGTGTGTACACATCCATGCACTTCGGACAGTAAGACTTGACCATTGCTTCCCCAGGAACATCTGACAGCCCTGTTTACGCATGTTTAAAAAACTCACTTTTAATCAATCATAAGCAAACCAATGGGCAGCATGGGCTGGCTCTCGCAGTACACTCTAGGGCAGTGGCCGAAATCGCCAGCTTGGTACTTCTCTATCATCTGTGCTATACCCCGGTTGGTGAGAATGTAGCGAGCGTGGATAAGGCCATACAGCATTTCAGCAGCCTGTTCAATAAGATCCGACTGATTTGGGTTATCATCAAGTTCGTCGTCTGTGGAAAAAAATATGTTGTAAGTCTACACGTCTGTATTCAAGCAAATTATTTTAGTGCATCAACAACTATTTCTAATTTTGTGTACCTGGCTCAAGATCTAAAATCATGTCTAGGGCCTGTCGGTAGTGTGGTACTTGCTCATTCAAACCAGTCAAGTTGAATTTGTCTTGGATGTAATCTTCATCAACCTAAAAAAAGAACAGCAAAATTAGATATATGAGCAGAATAATGATTGAAAAAAGGTTTGGATACTTTTGAAAAAAAAAATGCAGTACATGTTTACCTCACAGAAGAATTCATTGCCTCTAAGACCGCAAAACCATGAGATCCAAGAGACTTCCTCTGAGCTGCTCATTTTTCTGAAATTGATTAATGCAATCACAAGCGTTAAGAATTAACAAATATTGGTAAAATAATAAGCGAATTTCTAATTAAAACAAGAAGGTATATATCTCGCAAGGTCCTCTCTTACACAACGCCCTTGGACTTGGGATTTTCAATAAAACAAACTAGGCTTACTTTGACCGGACCCTGTTTTTTAGTCAATTGATGATCTAGCTACGAAGAGACAAAACTAACCAAGCTGAAATTTTAAGGGGATACAGGAGATTTTTAGCAAAAATTATCCGCATTTCCGCTTTACATAAGTGTGACCTTCGATAGCAAAATCCCTTATGAAATGAACTAATAATTTAGCAAAAGATCTTCAATTCGGATACAATTAAGGTATTTTTTTAAAAAGGACGTTACAGAATTTTTAATTAATAGCCTATTAACATTCCGAACTAACAATTCGGCATACAAATCACATTTACAAGGTTTACAGTAGAAACTTTGAGAGCTGTCAGTGCGTTTGTAGGCCTCAAGGAAAAGTGAAATTTTGCAAGGACTATGGGCATTCAGTGGGCTCTTATGGGCTTTACATGACTCACGAAGTTTTTAAAGAGAGACTTTTCTAACAATGAGGGTCAAAAATTTGTTAAAAAATAGAGAAAAACAGAAATTCACGAGGAGAGGCTCACCTTTTTCTAGTGTGATTAGCCACGCTTAACGATGTTCAGATGGGAATATGGCGGAAATGTAGCGGGCTTATTCAAAAATACCAAATTTGCAACCTAACAAAACTAAAATTTAAAATTCGATTTTTAAAAATTGATGTTAAAAATAAAGCATTATAAAATTTGATGTGATTTTTACATAAATTTTAATATATTTGCAAAAAAAACTATTTTGTTCGTGTACTTACTTTGCTTCTTCAGCTTCCATATTATATTAATTTTTTAAAGTGCAATGCAGACGCAGACTGCAGTGCATACACATATCCTCATAGTTTTTTTTATTTTGGCAGCACTGTCAAAGCACGATCCAAGAACACGATCCATCGTCGGCCGATCGTCGACTAGAGACAAAACAACAACAAAATGCAGAATTCGAGAGGTTGTTCGAGTGAGGAAAAAGAATAGTGCTCTGAAAATATTGGATTTTGGAGTTTCTTAAGTAGAGGGACCTGTCTCTAGAACATGCAACATGTTCAATTTACAATATTTTATAATTGTGCTAAGCGCCAGTAAACACCCTGTGACTAGTGTGACTTTTTCACTGAAGACATTTTCATAATTATTAAGGTAAAGAACACTTAATGTGTTTTCCTGTTTTGAACAAAATTTAAAAAATTTAAATGTTCTGCTTGAACCAAACACATTTTATGTAATTTTATGTATCTAAAATATTTATTCAAACCATTTCTGTTTTAGAATTAAAGAGATAATTGAGCTGGTTTAATATGGGCAGAACTCGACGGTGCATAGTGAAGACATGTCCAAACAATGACTTGACCAATGTCAGCAGCACCCTCTCTCTGCATAGGTTTCCAAATGATTCCGAACTGAGGAGAAAATGGACCACGCTTCTTGACCTTAAGTACGAAGACATCAACCCAGCCTTTCCTCATCGGTATTTGGTCTGCCAGGAGCATTTTCAAATGGAGCGGTACCACAGCACAACTTGCCAGCTGATGGACTCGTATGGTATTGCAGTTGGAAAAAATTGCAACAGGAAGTGCTATATGATCCCGTCTGGCGTCTTGCCAACCAGAAATTTGCCACCCATAGCTAAGGATTTGCTTGACAAAATCTTCGACAATCCCACCGTTGCGTTTGGCAAAAAGTTCACTGAACCCATCAAACCTCAATCATCGAACTATGTACCAGTCCCTGGACCGCAAGTGCCTCGAACACCACGACTGATTCTCCCAGCGCCAAGTTCCAATGAGATTCTTATTGAAAATGTCGTATCTTCCAGCAGAGCCCCTTCAGAACCTGACCCTCTGGACCCCAGCACCTCTATTCAACCCGAAGTCATTCGAAAGAGCGTACCCAAAAAAATCCAGGTGAAACCTGTGCATCTGGATTTAGAGAAATCTACCCCAACTAGGAAAATTCCTTTAATTTTGTGCAGAGCACCAAGATCTCTTCCTGTAGTGGTTCCAACGCCTCCTCGGCAAGCACCACCAGTTATCAGTGCTGCACCTTCAAAACCTGCTCTTTTTTCTGGAGAACCTCGCATGGTTCAAATCATAGAGGCTGAAAAGTAATTTATTGTTTATAAAAATATTAATATTTTTTTTCTTAATTAAGATTTATCTTTTTTCAGAAACAAGCCTATGCAGCTTTTCATCGAGCCCAGTAAAAAGGAAGTTCCAAAGCCAAAACTGGTCAAAAAGCCCGAGTCGCAGAATACGCAGACGCAGGTTATTATTTTGAATAAACAGCAGTTGGCCGGCGCAAAAAATGGAGCTGTCATTCGTACACCAGACAGCAAGGGGCAGACTCAGAGCGTCAAAGTGCTCAAAATTTTTAGGACAACGCCGAACTCACCAAAAATACCTTTGACTCCTGCTGCACCTCAATGTCTTGAAGTGGCTGTGCAGCAGCAAAAACCCAGCAGCACCCCACTGGTCTGTGCAGTGAAGACGATTAGTACGGTGACTTCAGTTAAGGTGAAAATATTTTTTTCCCATTACAACATATTTATAATGCTAAACTAGGAGGAGGATTTTCTTTGCGATGAAGCAAGCAATAACAAGTTAGAGATCGGGGGGATTGAAAAACTTTGTAAGCCAAATTCTCCAAATATATCTTTGACTGCTGCTGCGCCTCAGTGTCCACAAGTGACTGTGCAGCAGCTAAAACCTAGTAGCATCCCACTTGTCAGTGCAGTGAAGACCCTAAGTACAGTGACTTCAGTTAAGGTAAATTGAGATATTTTCCTTTACAACATGTTTATGATGATAAATTAGGAGGAGGATTTTATTTCTGATGAAGAAGGTAATGAAGACATAGAGAGTGAAAAATTGTGCAGATTTTGCGCAAAGGCTGGACTGGATTTAAGCGAGATTTATGAAGATGGCAAGGATCTTGCCAAGTCAATCAATGAGTGCCTCCCCTTTCAGGTAACATTTACAAATACTATGCGTCATTCGCATAATAATAAATTGGTCAGGTGTCCAAAACTGACACCCTATCTCTCTTGATTTGTGATGAATGTCGAGAGTCGGTAGACAGAATGCACAAGTTCTATCTGCAATGTAAGGATGCCAACAAAAAGCTGCGCGAGCTAAATGTGAAGCGCAAAGGATCAAAGGTACCAGAGCCTTGCTGTACATTGAAAACAACAAGAACGGTAAAGAGCAGTATTTTGGTTCTTGATAAAAATTCACTCAAGATTTCCCTGCAGTACGAGTATGTGGCGAATCTTGGTGACTTATTGAAGAAGAGAATCCTTGATGAGCCAAGTTCTGACTCGTCAAGCTCATCTTTCCCAGACCTAACTCCAATTCAGAAGAGGCCGTCCTCATCATTAGAACAGCCGTCGGCCAGGAAGCAGAGAATCATTGAAAACCCAAATATAGACCTGACAACCCCAACATACTCGGTGTACAAATTCCTCGATCCAAAGGGGCTGATGCAGCCAGTGGAGCAGTTCCCATCATACTACTGCAAGCGGTGCCCAAATGTGTTCTCTAAAAAGTCCCTGCTTTGCCGGCACTCGTGGACCCACCACTCCAGATTGATGTGCGCCCATTGCTTTGCTGAGTACGACGACAGGAAAGAATTTGAGTTCCATTGCGTTGAATATCACAAAAGGATGCCCTCTCTGGAGCATTATACTTTCAATGATTTCGGCAACAAAGTTTGCAACTTCTGCAACGAAGAGTATTCCAAATTCCACCTGCTGCGGAATCACTGCCTGCACAACCTGTGCCCTGTCCTGACGCAAAAACTTGGCCTTGAGATGGGAGTGCCTAACAAGCGCTTCAAATGTGATCTCTGTGATAGCGTAAGATTAATTTATCATATAGTTATATAATATAAAATAAAATTTTTATTAAATCTATACTCAAAATGTTGATAAATACTAATTATGCGGTTATCTATTGTCTGTTGCAGCGCTACGGAAGAAAATTCAAAATAGTGAACCACATGTGCATGCACTTTGGCATCAAGAAGTTTAAATGTAAGGTGTGCAAGAAGAGATTCGCCGCTCGAGGTCATCTCCGAAACCACATGGGTGTCCATAAAAACTTTGATGTCCAATGCGAAGAATGCGGAGCTTCGTTTAAAACCAGGACCGGCCTGAGGCAGCACAGTTTGGTTCACACTGGCCGATGGAATAACAAGTGCACCTGTTGCTCAAAAACGTTCCGCTTTGTGAAAGAAGCCAAGACTCACTTCCGACAACATTCTGCCACTGAAAGGGCCAAAGTGGACAACGTTCCATTCAAAAAGGTTGCTCCCTTCGAGTGCACCTTCTGCCAGCGACCTTACAGGCAGAAAGAATATTTTGATATACACCTCAAGTCCCACGAATCTGAAAACCAGCAGTTGTGCGACCAGTGCGGCCAAAGCTACAAGAAGAAGGCGGCCCTTCGGCAGCACATCCTCCACGTCCATGGGCCCCAAGTCGAGTTGGAGTGTAACGTCTGCGCCAAGATTTTCTTCAGCAAGAACGGTTTAAAGAACCACATGGAGTTGCACATCGGGGAATTGCTGCAGTGCAACGTGTGCGGCCAGGGACTCGTCGGCCGCACCAACCTGAGGAACCACATCAGAGCGGCTCATGGCAAGAGCAGCTACATCTGCGACTTCTGCAACAAGGGCTTCAAATTGAAAAAGAGACTCATCACCCACATCAAAATGCACACTATGAAGAGAAAACGTGGGCGTCCTCCAACGAAACACTGGATTTGATTATTCAGGTAGGAAAAATTGAATTTATGATTGAAAATGCAATTAAAATAAAATTCAAATTGAAAGATTAGGTTGTTAAAACATTTATTCATTGATTTATCAAATCAAACTGCGTTCAGTCCAGTTAATCGTTAATCACTAGTTAAAGGGCAATGTCTTTGTATCTCTGGTCCGATTGTTGTGAGCCAAGGGACGTGTGACTGCTGTAGTTGCTTCCTTGCAACGAGCCGTTGCTCATGGTCCGTTGCATTCGGAAGGAGCGCGGAAGGGTGCCGTAGTGGTGTCCGTAGGGTGGCGCTCTTACGTGCTGCTGCAGTCTCATTTGTGACTTAATCTGGCGTCTATCCAGACTTTGCGTCGATGCTTCTGGTGCTGTGTCCAAATACCCTGATAAATTACAAAAAAAATAATAATAATAATATTAAATAAAGTTTTTGATATATGTTTAAAATTTATATTTACCCGGGCACATTGGGGCTTGATTCATGGGGCTGGGAAAGTAGCCCCAAACATTATTGTTCTGAATCTGCATTTCAAAAAGAGACCGTGCTCTCTGCAGAACTACGTTGTTTGGGCTTTGGCGCATGAACATTGAAGCGTTAAATTCATTACTTGAGAGGCCAGCCACTAAAATAAATAATAAATAAGTAAAAAAAATTCATGAAAATAAAATCAAAAAAGTTACCTTTACCTCTTGACATTGTTTTTTCATAGCAGCTTATGAAATGTAAATTGCTAGGAATGCTAGAAGGGTGAGGCCTGCTCTGCTCCTGCAAGGATACGCCAGCATTGGCCAAATTTGTGGTGCTGGCTCTAAAAAAATTATTAAGTTTATTTTGAAAAAGATTAAAAAGACGCTGCTAACCTTCGGGAATTAGTTCCAATACTCTGAATGGCGGCCAGGGGCACCTTGTTCACCTGCTCACTAGAAGCGTGAATAAATCCAGGGTTGCTGTGCCCGCTTTTTGCAGGAACACCTGCTTGGTCTGTGGCCTTCCTTATCGCTGCCTCTTGCTGAATAAATTATATAATTTTAATTGAACTTCATTACCATGTTTAAATTAATAAAATTGCTAAGAAGCTAAATAAAGCTATGATTCAATCAAATTTTTATATAATTTTTTAAGTTCTTTTTTTGTGTCTCTAATTGTAATTTCTCTTAATTTTATTTTTTTACTAGTATTATAATTGAACAAACCATGTTTAGAATTTGTAAACGTCTGATTATAATTTTTTCCTCGGTCCATATTGCGTATTGAGAAGCAGTACACGCAACGCTGACAATCTGAATCAAAATAAAATAAATAAATCGTTAAAATAAATTAATTTCTCTTACATTGAAAGACGCTCTAATGACCCAAAACAAAAACTCGGTCGTTCCCTCTGGCGTTTCTATTTTCTGAAAATAAGATTAGTTATCATTAACCTCTCTTTTAATTCAGTTGACATTACTGAAACAAAGAAACGTACCCAGTGATTAAAGCTCATAAAAAGTGCCAACGCAGCCTCTGGAATAAGCCAAGTGCCCACAGAGGCAGCCCATACCAGCAGCCACTGCGTCTGCTTCTGAAATTAAATTTAATCATCTTTGAAGCAAAACTGGTTTTCAACAGAATGGAGTTACTACTATTGCTCTTGAACAGCATAAAATAAAAAATTTATAATTGAAAATAGCAACGTGTGGTTTAGTTAAATCGGCGCGGTTTCAACTTACAAGGGCGATTCCCACAATCAGGAGTCCGGATAAAACTATGGTAACAAAGTGGCCGAAGCATAATAAATAAGCACCTGCAGGAACTTCGCCTGAAATCAAGATGAGAGGCCAGTTTAGTTGTTTTAGCAAAAGGAAACAATCAAACGGGTAAATAGAGCGTGCCCCTTGAGCAAATCACTTTCTTTAATAATATGACACTCACTTCACTGACTGGCACACACAAAAAACCTCAATTTGCGCTCAAGTGAAAAAGACTGAGAAAATAAGTGGGCTTACTTTTATCTTGGATCATCCACCAGATTTCTAAAACAATGGCGATAACGTAGGCGACCTGAAACACACATTTCCCTGCAATTAGATGGTAAAATAAGGCGCCAAAATTACGCGCTAATTATGGGAACATTTTTAATTTCCGAGAGCTGGTATAGTGACTTTTTAAATATAAAAACTAGATCTTTTTCCCTTTATTTTTTCAACAAAAGAGAGATGGCGACCCTTCGCATTTGAATAGAAGGCAAACGTTTGTCCGATTTGGCATTACAGGCAAGAGAAAAAAAATTAGAAAGTGTAAACAGGGGATTAAATGCCTTTTGACCACTCGGTGACAACAAGTGTTGCTCGGTGATGTCATCTTTTGAGGAATCAGCTTCTTTTAAACGCGCTTCTCACAAAAGCTGGAGGAGGAAAATAATCGCAAATTAACTTCTGCATGGTATTGCGGATAGAATTGATTTGACATGCATTTTAAGCATAGGAAATCTTTTTCAAAAGAAATTTAACGTTAAATTTGTTTAGAAAAACTAAAACGGAAACTGGAATACACTTAACAAAATGCAAACACAACACAAATTCACACTAAAAAAAATAAAATTAAAATAAAAACACACTCACATTAACAAATTAACAACATTGCAAATCTTTTAAATTTGGTTCCGAAATTACAATTAGGATTTGATTAAAATTAGACGATTTTTCATAAAGAAACAAATTATGTACCATCGCCATCATCACTCGGCACCGTTTACTTTTTCATGCATGTGAAATAAAATGGTCATAAATTTAATAAGCACATATTTTAATGCCGACATGGTTATAAAAAGGGTATGAATGAGCAAGTTCAGAATCCAATAATGAATAGTGAAAGTTTTTGAGTGTGCGAGCGCGGAGTAGGTTAATTTTTTTTTATCTGCCTCCTCATGTCTGACTGGCGGCGTATATTTTGTCATGTTGAATGTGTGAAAACACGGTAGGTTTTGAATAGGTTTGATGTGAGATGAGATCGAGCAATAATATTATGCAATATTGCAATTATTATTTCACAAGATGAATGTCGCATCTCTTTGGTAGAAATTTAATGAAAGGTTTAATTTGATTAAAGAAATTAATCGCGCAGTTGTAATTTTAGTAATCGTATTATTTTGTTTTATTTCCCTATATTTCTGGCGATGATGAGAAATTTAAACTGGAAAATCTTGATTCTACCATAGAAGATAAATCTTAAAATTTTGAATGATTTTGAGAAAAAAATAACACAAAACTGCCCTGATAATTTATTCTTAGTAGAATAACTAAGTCATAAACTTCCTAAAAATTATTTAGCAAAATAAAATTTTTAATCTATTTGTAAAACTTTGCCAAAAATATGGGTTTTTTTTTATTGAAATAATTTTGAAATATATTCGAAGAGCCACTCGAATAAAAGTCGCGCGGGCAGCGCTCAAGGAAAACAGCACCATACTGGCAATCACTTAACATTATACTAAAGAGCGGCTCTCATAATAGCGCTAAAAATAATAATATAGAGAAGGAATTCGTGACTCACAAGGGCGTATATGCCTGCGACGGAGGTGGCCACGAGTAAACTGCAGCAGCTACAGAAATCCTTAAGGGCCATAACTGCACATGGCCAGGGCGGAATTTGCAGAGTAGTGTCCGAGTGGTCGGTCGATTTCGTTCCAGCGACACATGTCACCAGCGCGCGCGACTCTTTTCACTCTCTCAATTGGCAAGAGGTTCGACTGCTGCAACGCAGGTAAAAGAAAGGTGTGTCTCGCCTGCTTCTTGCCTCATTTCGTCCGCCGCTGCGAGTGTGTGGAGGTGAAATTCATCTGACTGAGCTGGGCATCGAGATCCTTGCACGCCGCCACCACTCCAATATTATTATACGCCGTCTACCTGCAGCGCGCTCGCCATAGCTCGCCCGCGATGGAAAACCTGTCTCGCCGCCGCACAATAATAACTTCTTTGATGTTTTAACGACAAACCAATAAGTGGATGGCTATTCACTTTCAGTTTTTAAATGAAACAGAGTTGCAGCGAATATAGCGAGAAATTTATTAAATAAATATTCAATGAAATGAACAATATAAAATCTTAAAAGAAGAAAATAATTATTGTTTGATATAGCATAATTTAAATTTAATATCTAGTAAGAACTTTATAGGATTATATTAAATTATAGTAATTGTTCGATCAGCCATGTAAGAAAAATGACAAAAAGTTAGCAGAGCATGGTTTCGATCCACGGACCTCTGGGTTATGGGCCCAGCACGCTTCCACTGCGCCACTCTGCTCTATAAAAGAGACGCGAAATATTGGAACTATAAAGCTAAGCACATGCCATTGCTACCAACTTCATTCAACCTAATGTATTGTATAGATAGGAGGACATGAAGGATATCAGTAAAATGAAACATTTTATATTATTTAAATAAAAAAAATTTATATGAAATACATTAAAATAGACTAATTTACAAGTTAAATCTATCTGAAATTATTATTTTTCTTGATCAAATACTTTTTTGGTTAACAAATCCTGAACGATGACCTGCTGATCAAATTAACAGCTCCTTCATTTTGCAAGGCGCTCAATGCATCCTCGAGCATTTCCGTGGTAATCATCTAAAACAAAAAGGTTATACGAAACTAAAACAGAGAGCACGTAACTCATTACCAAGTCAGCCTTTTCACGCAATTCTGTGAGGCACCGTTTGAAGTTGAGAGTGGTTCCCTTGGACTGGTTCTCGATGAGGTTTTTCAGCTCTTTCATGAGTTTCTCTCTGTGCTTCCTGCTGGCTGAGCTCATGCCTGTCGTCAGAATACTAACGTCAATTCGGCCAGAAAGAGGGTCAGTTGCGGACTGTTTCAGGGCTTCTCGGTGCAACCTTTGGTTCATGTCAATCAGATTATGTGATGGTTTATTAGTTTCACATCAATTTACCTCCAAGCCTCTTCAGCATCAACAAGTTCAACATGCTGACTGAACCTCATTTTGGCATGTGCTTCCGCAAGGCGAACGAGGGACTCGAGTTGCCGAGGGAAAGCAGAAATTTGTCCGCGGGCACTTCCAGCCTGTCTCATAGTGATGTACATCTCGATCAGTCTGTTGCTCGCCTCTTCAGTTAATTTTGGTCGGATGTGCTCTCTGGCGTAAGCAATGTAGTCCCTCATCAGGAGCATATTCTGAAGTGAGTCCAAGTTGAATTATCTTAATAAAAAATCAGGATCCACTAATTACCATGAACTCCTGCTCGTCTTCTTCAGGGGTGCTCTGGTACATTCCAACCAAATGCTTTGCAAGGCGCCTGTCGTACAGCTCGTCTTGCGGGTCCAGCAGCAGGAAGATCAAATCAAATCTGAAATAATAAATATTATCTTCTTCATTATTTAAACTGTATGAATGAATTACCTGGACAACAGAGTATGTGGCAGGTTGATATTGTCGATGATGGTTTTGTTCTTGCTCCACTGCGATTCCAGAGGGTTTGCAGCAGCCAGAATGGATGTTCTGGCATTCAGCTGGCAAATAATTCCAGCTTTGGTGATACTCAGGGTTTGCTGCTCCATCACCTCGTGTAGCATGCTTCGAGTCGACTCATTCATTTTGTCAAACTCGTCAATGCAGCAAATACCATTGTCTGCCAAAACCAAGGCGCCTCTGCACAAGAAAATATGTTAAAAATTTAAATTTTATTCTTCAACTCATGTTTACGTTTGCAAAACAAGCTGCCGAGTTTCTGGGTCTCTGGTGACATAAGCGGAAAGACCAACAGCGGAAGATCCTTTGCCAGAGGTAAACTGACTCCTTGGCACCAAATGGAACACATACTGCAAGAGCTGAGACTTGCTTGTGCCAGGATCACCACAAAGCAAAATATGAATGTCTGACCTGTTAATGATTTAAAATTAATATTTCATCTAGTTTAATAAATCAGAATTAATTTTACCTGAAATTACATCTGCCTTGAGTGTTGAAATCCTTTTTGGTGCCGCCGAATAGTTGCAAAAGAATTCCCTTCTTGATGTCCTCATTTTCGTAAATATTGGGAGCCAAGGCATGAGCCATGCGCTCATAGATATCATCCTTTTGAGAAAGCTCCCTGAGCTGAGCAATTCGTTCGTCAGAGAACTGGTGATCTTTGCTATTTAATAAATTAAGTTTTTAGCACAAAAGCACCTATTAAAAAAGTGAATTAAAAACCCTACCCTTCGACATTCTCATAGAGCCTCTTAGTGCTCGACTTCCGGAAATGAACAACGTCAATGTGAGTCCTGTAAACTGAACGCACATTCCGCATGTGCGGATTAATGACGGACGGAATAGCTCTGTAGATGCCGGTTACAGTGACACGGTCACCAGGCTGGACCTGATCAACAAGGTCGTTGTGACAGTAGAGCAGGACTGTTTGCGGTGTCTGAGCAGCAGGCATATCATCTATTAATAAAAAAATTTAGCACCTGATAAAAATAAGCATTATTTATTCATTAGTACCAGGTGACTCTTGGAGCTTGACCAGCTGCTTGTCACAAAAGTGCGAGCGGTTGTGCACTAGAGTGAAGCAGTGATTGGTGTTGCAGTTAGCGCAGAGGGTGGGTTCGGCGATACGGCCACGGTCAACTTCGACCTCAGTGGTGCTTCCGCACACAATACATTTGAAGAATGCCTCGCGCATTTCAGGAATGATGTCTGAAGTTCTGATGACCATACCGCAAAGAGTGATGAGCTGATCGATGTCTAAAAATACGCGAAGACTGTGAAATTTGCTATTTAATAGTTGATGGTGGGCTTACCCTCAGGGTTCAGATTCCTCATGCTCACTGTCACGTCAGAGTTAAAGGGTCGGATCTGAATCTGGTGCTCCAAAACTGCTACCGGATGTTTTTCAAAGAAAAGCTCGTTGATGGCCATGTCCAGAATAGGAATTACTTCTTGAGGGTACCGAACAAGCTGGGCATACAACCTGGGGCTGTGTTGTTTCAGGTGTTCGCAGTTGACATTAAAATAGGGGTCTTCCAGGGCAAGCACCTTTAGAGTGAAAAAATTTATTTCAATTAATCTTGAGGGTTGACAGAAATTTACCTCCTTGAGCTTTTGCATGTAAATGGGTTCATTGACGTCAGTAATGGCCAAATTGGCCTCGTCAGGCTCAAGGTTTGGATCAACAAAGTTTTCGATGAAGCGGCGGAATGTCTTTTTGCATTCATTGACGTCTACGTCAGTGCCCCAGATGACCATCTTGGGGCCCGCTTGGCTGTCAGCTTGGCTTGATCCTTCAGGTCTAGTAGGCTGATTTAGAAATTTGGTTATAATTAATATGCTATCATAATTTTTCCTTGCATAAATTCAAAATTACCTGATCAGACGGGATTGCAATCTGACGTAAAGTCCTTTCAGAGCCAATGTCCGCCCTCACTCGGACAGGGGTGTCCTGAATGCCTGTTCTAGGAGTTCTCAATGATCCAAGGGAGCTAGGCGTTCCGTAGTTCAAAGGTGAACTCAGGTCAATTTCACTCAGACCTAAAGTTTTAATTAAAAGTTTTTTATGCAACAAAAATAAATTTCTCGTACATAATATGAACGTTAAATTTTTCAAATTTGTCTTGCTTACCCATATGTTCCGCACCCGCAGCAAGAGGGCTGGTGACAGGGTTATTAGGTTGCTGCTGGCTTCCCACAGCCGGAGAATCAAACTCCGAAGACTCGGCGATGGTGCCCATGCCTTCTGGCCGCGCATTCTTTCCTCTCGCCCCAACACGTAGCGGAGTGGTTGCTGGAGACTTCTGAGGGGTTGCTCGTCGCTTTCCTGGTGTTCCGCTCTCTATGAATACATATGATTTTAATAAGAATTTTACGATTATATACATAGGATTAAATAGACGGTGGTCATTTAAAAATTAAATGTCCTCAAGAGAAAGCGGCTCATTACCAGATCCTTGGCCATTCTCCCGGCTTGGCGTGTTTGCTTGCGATCGAGTCGTCCTTTTGGACGGAGTTCTCGAAGGAGCAGGGCTGGACATGTCTTCAGAAGAAGTTTGAACTGAAGTTTCAGATTATGCGTGAAAACTTTTGCTGAAATTTTAATGCCACTCGAAAAGACAGAGAACAGAGAAAAGCGAATAAATGCCCTCAATGCCCTGCTGTTGGCGGGAGATCGAGGTTTTTGGCGGGCAGCATTACCAACATAAGATTTTACAGTTTAATATTATTATTCAATTTATTTATCGGTATTAATCTTTAAAATATAAATTCAATAAAGAGATAATTAAGTTGAAATTTATATCTTGCATACTTTCAATTAAAATTACTATGAATTAAATAATTTCCATTTGTATTTTACATTTAGATTGCTAGAAAATTTCTTACGTTGGTTCTAATGTAAAATAAAAAAAATCCATCTGCAAAAGTTCATTGCGTCATGCGTCGCCATGTTTATTTTGTTAAAGCCCGCCGGATGCTCAAATTCTATAGTTATTTAGTTGTATTTTTAAATTTCGTGCTTCAACCAATGGAAGACTTTTAAATCCTGACATAAAATTATAATCCACTGGCTGACTTTGGAGTTGGATTGGTTGGTTGAGAGTTCCGATTAACGAAACGAAAACAGTTAAAGTAAACAGACACACAAGACCAACGAAACGCGCACGTGTGTGGGAAAGCCGGAAATTTTGTTTCATTCAGAAAATTAACACGGACTGAGATCTGATTTTTACTAATTAAATTAAATATTAAGTATGTCTATTTGAATCTATTTGAACTAATCTTTAAGGGCGTTTTTGTGTTGCAGAGAATCTATAGGAAACAAATTATTTCATCTGTTGTAAACATGTTGTCCGAAATGAATACGAGTGAAATCTTCAAACTCTCCGAGGACTTCATAGAGAGCAGGAAAAACTCAAATAATTTGTCAACAATCGTCGATCTTTTGAGCACGCAAGAGGGAAAATTACTGAACTGCTGCATTCTTAGTCTTCAGACCATGTTCACCCACTCTTTGCTTGAGACAAAATCCATCGTGACGAGTAAGAGATGAAAGTTTTAAATATAGAATTTATTTCCCAATAAAAAATATATGTAAAAAAATCAAATATGATGTAAAGGGAAAAGAACATTTTAAACTAAAAAACTAAATTTATAATTTTCTAATTGTGATTGTGAAATTTAAGCTGAAGCAGGTGGAAAGTACAGAGAGTGGATTTTAAAAAATTATGAAGAAGCAATGCCCATCCTTCTGACAATAATCAAGTCTATCAAGCACCCCTATTCTGTCCGAGAGCAAGCTATGGTCACTTACGTGAATCTGCTGAAAATAGAAACCCTTCATGTGAACAAGCCACAAAATGATGCATTTTGTCTTCCAAAATTGAAATATTATGTAAATGTGAATCAAGTGTAAGATAATTATTTTCAACTTAAAAATATTTTTTCCTTTCAGAATTTGTTGAAAGTGTTAGTAGCAAGCAAAAAGACAAAAGCAGTGAAAAACAAAGTCCAAACAAAACTTATCAGCCGATTCTCTGAATTTACGGCAATGCCTGATGTGGCCCTGCAGACTTGGGTCTCGTGTGTTACATTAACCAAATGTGACAAAAAGCTTCCAGACGAAGGCAAAATGAGGAATATTCTACACCTGCTGGATAAAACGGTACCTTTTTGCGTAAAAATATTTCTAAATAACACTAATCGTCATGTTTCGTAGATGATTCCAAAAGGAATGTCTAAGGAAGAAAATTCTGAAGAGCCGTTTGTGAGCAAAAAAGGTATCCAATTGTCCTTTTTTTTATACTTTGTTATGCATAAAGGAATTTTTATTTTCTAGTTCATGACTTGCCCAGAAAGGCTGTTGGTAAAAAGTTGACTCGTGCTGTTGACGGGGTGTGGGAGAACATGAAAAAGTGGCACCACAATGAAGGCACCATGCATGAGACCTTACTGTTGTTAATTGAGAAAATGATGGACTCCATGTCAAAACCAAAATTGCTTACAGACTTTTTCATGGCATCTCTCGATTATGGTATGGTTTTTTTTCATTGAAACTTCAATCGTTATTTTTGAATTCTAACAGGCGGTGCTCTCAGTCTGTTGTCTCTCCAAGGAGTTTTCAATTTGATCCAAAAGCACAACATGTAAATCATCACCATTGTGGTCATTTTTATTTTGAAAAATTATTTTTTTCAGCGAGTACCCTGACATTTACTCAAAGCTCTACTCCCTTTTCACACCCGAAATGCTGCGAACTAGATACAAACAGCGTCTCTTCTACTTGTCTGATCTGTTTCTAACTTCAACGTGAGGATTTCTCTTAATTTAAGAAATAAAAAATTTAGCTCTCGATTTGTTTAGGCACATTCCCGAAGCATTGGTGGCTGCGTTTGCAAAACGACTTGGTCGCCTTTCCTTGACAGCTTCCGCAACTGACATCCTCATAATGATCCCTTTTATAGGAAACCTGCTAATCAGGCATAAAGGAATTCAGAAAATGATTCACAGCATAGAGGGGGGATATGGTATTTAAATAAATCATTTTCATAATAAGATTCAAGGAATCTTCGTTTAGTGGAGGTTGACCCATTTGTGGAAAGTGAGACGGACCCTTGCAAGAGCAGAGCCATTGAGTCTTGCTTTTGGGAGCTTAAAAGCCTGCAGAGCCATTTGGTTCCTCCTGTGGCCATCGCTGCAAGGTTTATTGACGAAAAATTGCCCACTGTCGAATGGGACTTGGCTGACGTTCTTGAAATCAAATACGGCGACGTAAGAGATGAACGATTAAGTTGGTTTGTTATAATTCATGACAAAAAATTTTCCTGTAGGTTTTTGAGAAGGAAATGAACAAGAAGGCCAAGGAGATAACCCTCAACTTCATACCTCCAACAAGTGAAGTTCTTGAAAAGTTGAAAAGAAACTTTTAGACAATAATTTTTCAAGAAATGGAGCAGAGGTTTTTGGAGTCTGAATTTTTTTACGTGTTTGCAAAGTGGTAAAAAATATACAAAATTGTGGATTTCAAATACTTAATTTTTTAATGAGAGATGATAGAAGAATTAGACCATGTTTGAAAAATTATCTTCAAGGGAAAAATTATTTGCAAACTAAATTTGATCAAAATTATTCTAAACTATTTTTATTTTATAATGTAATATAATTACGCTCAAAAAAAGTTAACTTGATTGAACAGACCAGACACTGACCAGTAGGCAGTAGATGGCGTTGCTGGCATATGTTATCATGTTGTTAATAGTTGGCAAGTCCGTGTTGGCAGAGTGGCAGTATCTGTGGGCAGTATACACGACAGTGAAAAACCCCTTTTTTACTTTGTACGAAAAATGTTTTGATTTTTAAATTTCTAGTTTTCTACTTGAATATAATCTTGTATAAATGGCTGACGTTGAGGTCAACGTGTCTGGAGAGATGGAGGTTCCTCCCGAGGGAGCGGTCAGCCAGCCGCTCTCATTTAAAAGGTAAACATAAACAATCTGCTCAGCCCTCTGAAATCGAAACATGCTGATTATCTGTCTTGATTTACAGCATAATGCAACTTCCAAACAAGCTGACTGTTCCTGCTGCTACAGAGTGGGTGTACCAGAGGAGACAGAACGTCCGACCGTGGACAACTTTTTGCAGCACATCAAGATTTAAAACTCCAGCCAGTGTTCCTCGTTTGACTCGGCGCCTTGTTAAAAATATTGAATACTTCCAGAGCAATTATCTATTTGTCTTCATTGGCCTTGTCATTTTTTGTTTGTGAGTTAAATTAATTATTTCTTATAATTTAATAAAGTTCATTTTCTGCATCAGACTTACGTCACCTCTGCTCCTTATTGCTGTGGCAGCATCTTTAGGCGCTTGCTATGTTTTGGCCCTGAAACACGCAGAGAGGAAGCTTGTGATAATGGGGAAAGAACTCTCGCTTGCTCAGCAGTACATGATGGTCTGCATTTGCTCGATTCCTGTATTTATCTGGGCTGGCGCACAAGCTGCCGTTTTCTGGGTCATAGGTAAAAAACATAAATTTTGTAGTTTTATTATTTTTAAATTAAATTTTACATTTCTTTTATCTTTAGGAGCGTCTGTTTTTACAATTTCACTACATGCCGCATTTTACAACATTGAAGCTTTGCTATCACCAGAAGAAGAATTTGACCTTGTCATGCAGCAAGTGTGAATTGTGAATTACTTGTAAATTTTTACACATTTTTGTAATATTATTTTTGTAACCCAGAAAGGGAATGAAAATCTGTTAATTTTAATTGATATTTATTAAAAAGTGAATTTATCTTCAAGCTTTCTAGCATTTTAGTGCTAAAAAGAACGCTGTTTATAATTTTATTTTAAACCAAAAGCATTCTTCACAAATTAAAAAAAAAAATTAAATAATACTGTTTCCTAAAATTATTATTATGAACTAAGTTAATGGAGTTAATAAATCTTAAACAAAAATTGGTTCAACGGTGAATTTAATGCACATTAATTATTTTTGATAATTCCGTGGGCCTTTTGGTGCGATTTGTACTAGAACTATGTACCAAGAAGAAGTTTCTTCTGGCAACTGTACTTTGCTGTGAGGGGGGGCGTTGCCGGTTGCTGTTGTTTTTCAGTTCAGTTCAGACGGCATGTCGGCAAGCCTGATGTAATTTCTACGCCTTGCAGGGCATCAAGTAAAAATTATTGGATTTTTTTGAAACTTTCATCTCAAGTCAGTGCTTTATTTTTTTTTATTCTTTCGCAAACTAATTCTCTTTTTTTGCAGGTGCTGCAAAATGCTTTCGTCCGGCCTACGAATCCTGCAGCGGTGTTATCCGCTACACTCAGCCTCTAAACTCAGCTCTTCCCTTTTGAGTAGATTGTCAAAATGCCCCGTCCAGTTGAGTTTGAATTCGCCACTTGAACGATCGCGTGTTACCAAGAGGTTTTTTGGCAGTACAGCGACCCAATCGGAACCGGCTCAAAACGCAGCTGAAACCCAATTTGAAGAGGATGTTGAAGAGCAAAAAGGAACAATAAAAGTCATTAGCTACACTCCGACGGAAATCTATGAAAATAATAGCTTACTACAAGAAATCACCGGCGGCGACCAGGACAAGGAAAAGACCCTGCGAATTTTATGTCTGGAGTACGACATACTGCGGCAAGAGGGTTGTGACGTTCCGACCAGTATAAGTGTCGAGAACTGGCAGACCCTGCTGGATATGCAGTCGATCCATGGACGCAAGAAATTTCTCCGGTTTCTGTTTATTAAAGAGATAAGAAAGTCGCTGGAAAAAGATAAGAAACAGCAGAGAAGGGAAAAGCGCTTGGCTCTTCAGGAGGAAAACGTGGTGGAGGAGGACGACGGACACATCAAGTACGGACTTGGCAATAACGCACTTTTCCACAGAATTTATGAATCAACGATCACAGAGTACGACAACTACCGCCTCATCAGGGCAATGGAACTGCAGGAGCAGAAAATCTTCATCGACTGCGGATTCGACAGCAGTATGTCGCCGGCCGAAAAAGGCAATCTTGCAAACCAGCTCCAATTTGCGTTTGCCTGCAACCGTGTGCACAGCGAGCCCTTCGACTTGCACCTCTGCAACGTTCAAAAAGACTCAAGCGCCATCAGAAAGATGATGAGGGCTATCCCAATGCTCTTGGACACGTCCTTTCCATGCAATGTCACAGAAAAGAGCTACCTGGACATCGTGCCCAAGGAGAGCATTGTCTACTTGACCCCGCACTGCAGAGAGGTCATGCGGGACTTTGACCATGATGCAAACTACATAATTGGTGGAATCGTGGACAAGTCGAATCAGGAGCCGCTGACCCTGGCCAAGGCCAAGCGGGAGGGACTTCGAATGGCGAAGTTTCCCCTCGACGAGTACATGCACTGGGGAGCCGGTGGGTCAAAGTTTTTAACTCTGGACCAAGTGTTAAAAATTATGTTGGACATGAGAAAGACTGGCGATTGGAATTACGCGTTGAGACACGTGCCGAGGAGGAAGCTCAAGACAAACGAGGAGGTTTTGAATTCAATGAGTGCTTTTAAGAGAAGAAAAAATCCATTTGAAAATTGGGAGGGCCGGGCGCCGCGAAATCGATTTGTGCTTCATGAAGAGTAAATGTTTTTTTTAATTAGTGTTCGAAAGTAATAAAGGAGATGAAAACATGCATAATTATTTTTTTTTAAACTTATTTGATGGCAAAATAAATGGCTCACTTAATTGGACTAAATCACATGAGCAAAATCGCTAATGAAATCGCCTGCATCATTTTTTTTAGATTGCGTACGATCGTTCTGCTCAATCTCGAAAATGAAATTTCAAAATTTTGGTAATTGAGATATCCTTGACGTTATGAAGTGCTTAACATTTGTTTCACTTTTTGCATTCCTCAAGCCTGCAATTTGTTAAAATCATATTTTTTTTTATCAAAATCATTATGATCGCACACAATTATACTACCACACTACTTTGTTACCAGTTGAGTGAGGTCACAAACTTCGAGGTCGCTCAAACCTAGCAGAAATTGAAACTGGACATATCTCAAAGAGCGATGTAGAGCAGAGATAACTTATGAGATTTGATTCTTACCATGATGCATGAAAGTGGTTAAAAAATATTTTACTTAAATTGCTGTGCTAATGTTGGATTTAGTTTGATAGTTAAATTGATTTATCTTTAATTTAATGTAGAGGTTATGGCACAAAATATATCTAAAATAAAACATGGCATCCTAGATTCTGCCAAAATTATAAGGCCCATAAAACTTATCCCATGGTTGAAGTTCACAAGAATGGAACAGGAGTTGGCGCACAAACATATTTTTGTTCGCTGATTTACCGATATTTTGAACGAACTTTGCAGTGAAAACGATATATAATTATAATATAATATTATCGCGCTCGCTCGTATTGACAATGAGTTGCGTGTTTAACTTTGACACAGAAATAAAAAATGTAATATGTATTATTGCCTGGTTAATAGCACAAAATAATTAAACTTAAAAATCTGAGATTCACTGCACGGAATATAGGCACGGGAGTGCAGAAAATAATTGTACAATAAAAGAAAAAACTTTCCAAAAATAAGTAAATTATGAAAACTTTTAATTCTAAGTTAATAAGTAAAACAGATAAATTTATTTTCGCATTTAAAAATTTACGAAACAAGAAATATTAACGATTGGGCACGTACAGGCTGCCATGTTGGGAATTGATACGTAACATGCCAGCAAAAGGAAGTGCCCATGAATAAGGCGGAAATTCAGTGTTTTTCACAACGCGTCGCTCACAGAAAATTTATTACAAAGCTTTATTATGACGCAGGTGTTCAGAAGTATGAAATGAAACGCGACTTCGTTTGCAAATTTCAATATGTTAAATCAGAGGAGCATTGCGTTGGCACAGTTAGCACTGATTTTTGGGGTATTTGTGGTGAGTATTTTTAAAATGGCTTAATGAGGCTTGTATAATAATGTTACCCGTGCATATTTTTCGAATTTTTCACAAAGCTACCTTTTAGCTTGATGAGAAAGTATCAGATTTATGAAAAAGCGATTATACAGTTTTTTTTTTATCTTTATACTTATCAAATAATAATTTGAATTGTTTCTGTGAAAAATTAAACGAAACGTACTGAATTTTTGTGATAATAAATATTTTACCTCTCTATATGCGAAGATCCTTCCTGAATATAATATACATGTTTTATTTTCTAGATGTACATGCAATGTGCACCAACTAAAAAGAGCAGCAAGAATGTCGCAAAATATGCCATCAAAAGTTAGAAATTTTGTTAAATGAAGTGATGAATCTTGTTTGTGTGAATGGTCAAGAAACGGGCGACTGAAATTTTAAATTCAAATTTTATTTCTTTTTCATTAACGTTTAAATAGTTTCACAGAAAGGCATAGGGCAAGTGAAAAAATTGGCGCATCTGCGAAGAAATCAAATCATTAAATGTTGTGGAAAGCATCCTTGCATTCCGACTGGGACCAAATCCAATTCTTCAATTGGCAGGACCACAGTACAAGTTATTTAATTAATATCATTAATGCGGCACTTCCTTATGAAACCAAAATATATACAATCGTCAGAACTTGAACAATCCAACAAGAGCGGGCGGCGGAGCTATTCAGACAGATACGACGCCCGAAAGTCTGACTAGCGACGCGTCCGGCGGAGGAGACACAAATGCGCCAGGATCAGGGGGTTCGCCTACAGATGCCCCTACGGACGCCCCTGTAGCTGCAGGTGGCGGCGGTGCCGCTGCGGCGCCCACGGACTCGCCAGCATCAGGCGCCCCTGACACAAGTTGCAGCGCGGAACCTCCGACCATGCCGCCTGGAATGAAAATTCCTCCTGGCGTTCCCCTGCCTACCCCTTTTCCTATGCCTCCGGAAATGTTGGCGGGGTTGACAGTCCCACCTGGAATGACCTGGCCACCTGGAATGGGGCCCACTTGTCCACCGGCTGGATCTGGTCTCAATTTTTTCTTTCTCAGAGTGATCAATTATATTTATATAACAAAAAAAAAATGCTTAAAAAATAACTCTTTTTTTTCTGAAAAAAGACGGCTCGAATTTCAGTAAAAACCGTGAAAACATTAATTGACTTGAGTGACCGACCAACCAAGAATTACAAAAATTCTCATCTGTGTTTCTATTTTAAACTTGATAATGATATTTTATAGAATTCATTTGAAATTTGAAGGATTTTTTTTAATGTACAGTTCAAACATTTTTTTTTTTTTTTTTTTTTTTTAATTTCATGGTTACGATTGTAAAAGAGAGAAAAAAATCAATACAATTCGTTTCAATTTGCTTATTCTCTCACAAAAGGCCAGAGAGGTTATTTGGAAATTCGCATTAATGAGAGAATTGGCAGCCAGCTCTATTAAAAAACTTACTAAAACTCATATCATAGGCTTAATTTGAAAGCAAAAGCGTTTCCAAACTAAATCTACTCATACCGAACTGGAGCCATAAAATGACAAAAAAAATTCAAAGTGTCAGATATGCAATCAAATCGACACAGTTCATGTTCTTTTTTTCCATTAAAAAAAGTACAATTTTTACTGGTTTTAACCCAGCACTTTCTATGAACTAAGTAAGATTTATTTAAGTTACTTTATAAATTTTATTTTAAAGGTGGTGCTGGTGGAAATGTACAGCCAGCCCAGCCAGTTACAGATACGCAGGCGCCTGCAGGAGGTATTTTTCATTTAATGAATGTTTTAATAATAAACTTGCATCTAATTTATGTAACGTATTGAAGATCTAAACAAAAATATCTTTCTCACGAAAAAAGTAAAAAAAGTCTGTTGTGGTCTTGCAAATTTTTTGTTACGAGTTTTTGAGAAATCACAGTTCATAAATTTATAACTCAAATTTTCATTTCTTACCATGGAAAAAACTTGCTCAAACTTGAAGTGCAAGCATGAGTCTCAAAATCAAATTTTTGACTCACTCTGCCAACGAATTTTTGAAAAATTATCAAAAACCAAAAAAATTTCCATCTCAAAATTCAAACTTTAAATATGTTTTGAAGCATTACAAATTTCCAATTATTTTGAGGTAAAACATCAACTTTTTCAATATTTCGAAAAAATTATGCAAAGGAATAACGCATGCATGGATTTTTGATGCATAAATATATTTAATAATTTAATGTTTATTTTTAAAAATTCAAAAGGTGGTGGCGCACAACCCCCGCTAGCTGGAGATACGCCGGCGCCCTCGGGAGGTGGTGGAAGCACCAGTGACCCCTCGCAGAGTTGCTTTGCAGAACCCCCGACAATTCCTCCGGGTGTCCCCATTCCAGCCGGAGTGACTGCCCCTGGCGGAATCCCGATTCCACCAGGCATGACTTTCCCTCCAGGAGGGACGTGGCCTCCAGGAATGGGACCCACGTGCCCCCCAGCAGGAGGGGTTACGGCAGCTCCTTCGAACGGAGGGGCAACGACCCCGATGCCTGCAGCGGCCCCAACAAATGCGCCGTGCGTGCCAGCAACGGTGGGCCCAGGAATGACCTTTCCCCCGGGGTTTACATATGCTCCAGGAATACCTATACCAGACGGAATGACCATGCCACCTGACATGACCTTCCCACCAGGCATGGGCCCAACGTGCCCTCCACAATAAGGTATAAGGTTAGAGTCACTGGTATGAAAAAAATTGAATATATTTGTAAAAAAAAAAAAAATACCGACCAGATTGTAATCAGTAATCATACAATACAACATACAACCTTTAAATATTTGTTATGCATAATCGATCGATTTGATAAAATGTGAACAGTTGATTGATTTTGTTATAATTACACTGATTTTTTTTTTTTAATTTTATAATGGGTTAAATTTTGGGTAATTTACATTTTAATAATACAAAATTCTTTTGTAAAACCTGCTAAATTTTATCAAATATTGTGTGTAAATACTTTTCTGCAAAATAAAAAAGAACCAAAATTAATCACTATTTCATTTTATTTTACAATAAAATGACCTTTTTGGTGAGGAATTAAAGGAATAATTTTTAGTGTAGTTTTCAATTCCTTTAAAAGGTCAAATTGCTAAAATGGAAACAAATCGCCTGTGGTAAAATTCTCTGCGTCTCAGTCGTCTGCTACTATTGCTTCCTTTTGTTTTACTTTTATTTGCAGTATATTTGTACCGAGAAATTAGCGGTCACAGCAAAACGGAATCAAAGTGCACTTGTTGTTCGTCGAGTTAAACTTGTTAATTGAATGGCCCTATTTGTTACTGTCTCTGTCGTCGTCCACTTGAACGGGGACGGTGTCTTTGGTTTTTTTATACTCGGTGTGCAGACATGTGGAAGAGCATTCTTCTCTAACAAGCATCATTAATATTGTCGTTTGTCGGAATACATGTGTCTACCAAGTTGCAAGTCCTTTGAAAACGCCGGGTTTAGTAATGGCTCTATTGAAAAATATAATTTAACACTGGATGTTTAGCGTTAACGTTAACGGCGAATTTTATGATTAAAAAAATCAAACAATTTTATTTAAAACTTGCGATATTTGATATTTGTCGGTGTTTTAAAATTTGCGAATTAATTTTTAATGAATAACGTTTGTATATGCGTGCGTTTGTAACAAGCAATGGACTGCTTGGTTAACTGGTCTTGAATAATTTACTGCAAGGACAAGTAACGGAATATTGCAAAGATGCAACCAGTAAACCACTTCTGAGGTTACTATGCTTTTCTTTAAGTCTTGTATTTTTGCCAATAATTTTTGTCACTGCAGACACTGCAATAGATATGCAAAAGAAATTTATTCTCAACAAATAACAAATAAGCGGTCTAAAATACTTTTTCAAATAATTATAATTCTTGTTTTTTATTAGCTAAATTATGGGTATTTTATAAGTAAAATTGAAAGTCTTAATATGAATCATATTTGGTTGAGTGAATCAAATGAATCACTTTTGAAGCCGAAATGGCAGAATAAGCGGCGTCTGCTCTTTTAAGTGGAAAATCCAAGGTCTGCTTTGCTTTTGGTCAACCACAATGCATCTTCGTCAATAAGTTTGTTTTGCGATCGAGCAAAAAAGTTGTCGCGCTTGAATTAAAGGCGGAGGCAGGAATAAGGTAGCTGTTTGGTCAGGCCCTTTATCCCCCCTTTCAGGGATGGCACATTATTATTAGGCAGACACAATGGTCATCGCGAATTCAGTTAGCCAGAACATCTCCACAGGAGCGGTTCGCAGCGCGCGCATCAAATAACGCTGCTTCAAATCAGTGCACCATTTCAAAGGTAATTATTTGAACATTGAAAATGTATGCGTTGGTTGCAAACAAGTACAGAGTTACTTCATTTTATTATTTTGCACAAAGTAAATCAAATTTTTAAGCTTAACAACAACTACATTAATTTAATTCTCTTATATTTACAGAAAAAGATGAAAGTTCTAAAAATAGCGTTGATTGTTTACACCATTGTCTCTACAACAACTGCAAGTAAGTCAAAATCAATATTTTAAGATCAATTAAAGCATTTTAATCCAAACCCGTGGGAGGAGAATTTACATTTAAAATAACAATTAAAATGTAAATTATATAAATTAATTTAAGGGAAAGCTTGCTTCTTTTTGATGAGTTTTGTTTCTGTGTAACTGATCAGTCACACAGTTTGAAAATAAAGAGCTTTAGATCATTTAGTGATTAATGTTTAAAGCTCTGTTCTGTAAAAACGAGGAATCACGCTCGGTCAGTTTTCCCTTTGCCGATTGTTGGTCCATCTTCTATTATGTTCACCACTGCCACCAGTGCCACCACCACGCCCTTGGCAATGAATCACGCGCGGAGCGCCTGATGGTGGTGGTTTGTGTGTGACTGGTGCAAAAATTGCGTTGTTCATTTCATTTGGCATTGTTGAAATTTCATTATGTACTGCATTTTATTTTAAAAAAAGCAAGAATTTCTTATTTGAAATTCATAAAAAATAACACAATTTAATACATTTTCTTTTACTTTAAAATTACCCAAAAAATTAACTGTAAGCAAACTAGAAAAATACGTGACAATTATTAAAATTACATACTTATTACTTAATTTTAAATTTCATTCTTTTATTATATGGCTTTAAATAGTGAATAATATTACTCGCACTGTTTTTTCCAAAAATCACTTTTCCCAAATTAGTTTCAAGAATTGAATGTACAAAAAATCAAAACAATCGTAAAACAGTAATAATATTAAAATATAACAAATTATAATATACTTATATCAAATGCCAAAATAACTGAAAGTCTCTGGCTTTATTGTTAAATTTAATAACGCAAGTCCATAATATATTTAAAAATTAAATTTTTAATTTTTATGTGTATTCAGATTTTAATTTTTTTAATAATTTAGAGCCTGTGGAAGATGATGTGGAGTTTGCGCCTAGGCATGATTGCGAGGTTGGCGGCAATGTGTACCCTTCGAAAGGGCACTTCTTCCTTCCTGACAACCCATGCAAATTTTGCATATGCATAGATGGAACGATCGAGTGCGACACGATTCAGTGCGACTACATTCCAAACTGCACGCCAGAGTACGACAGAAAATTATGCTGCCCAAAATTCACCAACTGCACAGGTAATTTTTTCGTTTATAAATATAAGAATTTAATTTATTTAATCATTCAAAATTTCCAGACCCGAGCTATGAGGGCGTCGAAACGCAAAACGAGAGGCAGTTTGTGGAAGACCAGGAGGAAAAGAACTTGCCTGTGGTGCAGGTGCAGCACCTGGACCTGATTTCCACGCTTTCTGCGAACCCTACTGCCGGCTCGAGCGGCGTCTTTGACGAGTTTACAAAAGATGTGGTGGCGGCGACAGAGTCTTCCGTGGAAGCTCCTACACAAGCGGAAGACTTTCAGGAAGCTGACGAGCCGGAAGCCATGGAAAGCAGAATCGACGACGAAATCGCCACCACTGATGCCGTTCCCATCAAACTGAGAGAGGGTGACTTTGAGATTTTCGCCACCACACTCGTACCTCTGGAGGAACTTTTGAAATCCGTCAAGGACGAGACAGAATTCGCCACGGTCGAGCCTAGATTTGACGACGCGGAAATTAATAGCTCAAGTGAAGAGGAGCAGGAGGAAATCAATGTTACTGAAAATTACTCTAGCGCCCTTAAAAGCGGTTCTGCTGAAGAATCTACGGAGGAACCGACGGAAGAACCTGAATTTAATTCTATTACGGAAGGAACTGAAATTTCCGAGATGAAAAGTAGTTCTGACGACGGCTTTGAACTGAATGAAATTTACTCGAGGACGACGACGGAGAACTCACTGACGACCACCAGCTACGAAGGGTTGTCCACGATTTTTGAAAACCCTCCAAAGGTGCCAGACGTGATTGTGGGCAAAATCATGCAGGAAGACGAGGCAAAAGTGACGGAACTGAACGCAGAGGTTTTGGTCCAGGACAGTCCGAAGGCGCAAAAGACGTCAGAGGCCGTGGTCCTGACGACGACGACCGACCCTGAGGAAGTCGAGACCGTGTCCATCGCGAGTGCAGAGAGCCCTGGGTCGGCGAGTGCCGAAATCCGGCTGGAGGAAAAGAAGAAAAACTCGTCGGCAGAGCTGAAAATCTTTCAGGTTTTGTATTCGGAGGACGAAAAGCAGGAGACGAGCAGAAGCGCCGACGCTGCCATGTTCTACCTTCCGCAACTTCCGCGGCCTTTGGTCTCGCCGCCCGCGGCCGCCCTGACCCCGAGCGAGTGGAAGGCGAACGCCTTCGACGAGACCAAAGAGGAAATCATCGCCGGTCTGTGGCACGAGGCCCTCGACATTCTGACCGGCGGCCGCTCGGCGGCCAGATCGCAGGCTCGGAAAACGCACAATTCCAAATTCCACAGGGATTGATTCGGAGAATCTTCAATTTTTCGTTTCTTGGTGCTCATGTGTAGAATTTATTTTTACAAAACCCAAATTCACGATTCGGTTTATTTAGATGGATAGTATTTTTATGAATAAAAATTTTGCATTGCGCGCTTTTCCCCATTCTGTGATCCTTTTTATGCGTTTTTATATTATGTTGTTTTATGTTATTTTTCACTTAATTAGTCAGATATAATGGCACTTATTTAATGACGGTCACTGCAAATGACGCTCTCTTTTGCTTCTTCCTATATTTATTTATTTGAACAATAAAAACACTGCTTTAGTAAAAAAAAGAGAAAAATGTTAATTTTATCTTTCCTAACATGAATTTTTTAACTTGAAAGTACGTTGTGTGGGTTTTGACCTCTCAACCTTGACTCTCCTTTCAGGCCAATGCTTTAGAAAAGAGAATTCCAACAGTTTGGCTCAGTCTGACTGGATGAGTGCACGCTTAAGGACGTACAAGTGCATTTTGAATCGCAGCTAGCGGCGACAAAAGTTAATTTAAACTTGAAAAAAGATGGATTTGCCGCTTTTCATTCTTGTCATTGCGCTTGTTTCGGCTGCTACATCAAGTAAAACAAAATTTCTTAGTGTTCATAATTTTAATTAACGCTTAAATAATTATTAGTTTCATATTATCATTCAATACATGACGCAGTTTCTAGTTTGTAATTTTAATTTCAAATCATTATGTCATAATATAAGAAAATAATTTTATTACTTAAGTACGGAGTTATAATAGAAATTATCTGTCAATTTCATTTGATTATATTTATTTGGAAATTTCTTGTATAATAAACATGTTATTATCTAGCGACAAAAAAAATTTGTAATAAAAAAAACACCCAAAAACAACAGATCTGATTGCTGTTGCCAGCTAATGTTTTTAGATCAATTTTTTCCTACATATTTGTAATTAAAATTTTACGCAAAAAGAAGCGTCCAACGAGTTTCACTAATATAGAGTGGACTAATTTTTGCAGAGCCATCACCAGAGGCTGTTTCTTCTATTGAAGAAAAAGGTTGCAAACTTGACGGCGTTTCTTATGCGAGCGGGCAAAAATTTGCGAAACCAGGCGAACGGTGTGTAAATTGTCACTGTTACAACGGAACATTGAACTGCAGCAAAATCGAGTGCTGCTGGATCGACGGATGCACCCCGGTCTATGACCCTGACGAATGCTGCCCAAAATGGGTCAACTGCACTGGAAGTATAAAATAAAACTTTCAACCATTTAAAGTCTCATTAATTAAAAACTTTCGCAGGTGATTTTGATGAATATTTAAATTCAATGGTTAAGTTCTCCTTAAAGGGAAGTCCACTTGATGATGACAAAAACGGCGACGGTTTAGTGGAGTCGGCTCCTAAAAAATGATGACATTGAACCTGGTGACAGAAGGATATGGAAAGTTGCAATGAGAAATTATTTTATTTATTCACCACATTACCTGATGTAAAAGTAATTTCAAAAGAGATTGTTTGCGTCTATAAATTTTAATCAATAAATTTCTATTTGTTTTTTTAATACCAATTGATAGAAAAAAAGGTCAACATTGGAAATAGAGTTTTTGTAATTATTGGCGCAGTCCAAATTGGCGTGCCTAGAGAAGCAGTCCAGAACAATTATATGAACGCGGACAAACCCCGGGGCGAGAAGGATGGGTTTGAGCAGCTTGGTCATAGCCAAGGGCAGTCATCATCCTCTGCCAGAGAAAGTGGAGATGACGCGCTTTATTGCTTTCTCTCTTCGTGTGTCTTGAACTAACAGTGCGGCGTAGTAACAACAAACATTTGCATTCATTTGTTGGCAGACCGATCGGGCAGGAATTGAATATTGAGACGAGAAACGCTTTAAATTAGTGTCATTTTATTACGAAACAGCAAAAGAATCCACACATTTCGTAATACGCATCACGCTCATCAAAACACAAAATTGAATTGTATTTTTAAATTCCTTGAAATCGGCTAACTCAACCCTTACTAGGAAAAAATTTTGATTCAGAAATTCTCAATTAATCTTAATTATTTAACCGTACTTATTCAAATAACCCTCAAATTCAAAAGTCACCACCCCTTTGGAAGCTCAACGTCGATTTTTTTTTTTGGAGGTTTAGTTGATCTGAATCATGCAACAACTTGACAAATGTACGAAAAATTGAAAAAATTGAGCTTAAGTTCAATTTTGCGCACTGAGTGGTTTGCACCCTGTTATTTATGTCAATTTGCCAAGGTGACACTTAGAGTTGCCAAAGCTTGTTATCCCAATTTTGCAATGCTCAAACTAGTCTCCTTAAAAAAAGTCACTGAGAATGTCGTCGGCGGAGAGCGCATGCAAATTAATTGGCGGCGTGTAATTGCTGCGGCATTTATACGACGAACAATAATCTGGCAATAATTGCTGGCGCCCCCGGGGAAATGAAATGTTATATCACGGCGCGCGAGAGAGAGAACCGCGAGTGCGTGCATTAATAATCGCAGGCGCGCGCAAATGGGCACCAATTTGCGTAATTAAACAAAGCGCTGGAGACACTCCGCCGAAATTAGCAACTCTCCCAAGGGCGCCGCCGTGTGTATCAGCATATTATGCAAGAGAACATTTAGACGAGTGATTCCCACGAAAAAGAGCGACACATTTTCGCAGAGACCAAGAAAATTTATTGCCCAATGAAAGCTAAAAAAATATTATTTGATTAACCTTGGTTCTGCGGTCTCGCATTTCATTTGTATGAAACCTCAAAAGTAATCAATCAAATCGGTATATATTATTATTTCGCAGAAGCGCCCCGCGGTGAAAACCAATTGTATGTTGGCGGTGGTTTTAAATAAACATTACAAAAAATAATACACGCGCGACCTTTGCTCAACGGCTACTGGTCTCACGGATTGTAATGGCAGATGGGATGAGCTCGCGCGTCTTTTCACCTGGTGAACCAGGTCGGCCCTTCATCTTCCCCTTCCAAACTCCCTTTGTATAAAAGCTGCACGTTAAGTGCTGACGCCTATTTTCTTCACTTCTCTCGAGTAGCCGCAACTTGACAGCACCCAAAGGTACAGTAGCTCTGATTCTAGTTTCCCCAGTATTTCTAGAATTTGTACAAGAAGCACCTTTGCTTTTTAAATTGACAAAACTTGCCTTAATTAGATTAGAAAGAGTTTAACGATATAAAGATATAAAATTAATTCAGCATCTTCTATTATAACAGTATTACTTGGTGCAAATAATAAATAATCAGACGTTTATCAAACATTTATTCATTCTCAACAACTGTATTTTGTTCTATTTATACTAAGTTTATCATAAAAATGAAAAAGTTAATTATTAATTGAATTTAAATGAAATATTATTAATTTAGTTAGAATAAATGCAAAAATAAAGCCATTTTTCTTTAAATATTTTATATTATTAAATAAATAAGAAATTTTTGAAGGACACGTTATAATAATTTTAATTTAATTTAACAAAATTTTTCTTATTTTTTATTTTTAAAATTTATAAAAAAAATGACGAAAATTTCCTTTTTTCTTTTTTCAGATGAAGGTGGCTTTCGCTCTGATGTGCCTCTTGGCCGCCGTCTATGGCATGCCCCAGCGCGAGGGTGCCCAGTTCACCAATGAAGCGATCCGGCAGGCGCAGAACACGTTCCTCATCCCCAAGGACGCCGAAATCCAGAACGTGCAGGAAGGCATCGAACTGGCCGCTTTCGAAAACCTGCCCGGCGACCAGCGCATCGACCTGGCCTCCATTCTGGGCGCCCACGTCCCCGCCGAGGTCGTGTCCAACCTGCAGACCCAGGTTGACCAGGTCGGCAGAAACTGAAAATCTAATCTACAGACTCTCATTTTTTTGTAAATAATTAACAACTGAAACAAATTTTTGTGTGAATATCTTCGTCTCTTCATTATTATGTACAAGGAAAAATTGAATTATAATAAAACGAGTACAACTCTGTTTTTTGTAAGAAAAGTTGGCAGATATTACTTTTTGTATCTCCTTTTTTGCAAACTGCTGCGAGAGCAGAGAGATGATTTTCCTCGCACTTAACGAGCGTTGGACTGGGGCCAAGTCGACATTCTCCTAATTAGAGATGCTGCCCGCATCCAAAGAAATCAACCAACTTTTATTTCCATTTACACTTTCACCGTCGGTGGCATCCAAGAAGTGACCTCTCGCGCGTCCACCGAGAGAGCAATTGCCCTTGTTAGACCAGCTTTCCTCTCGTCACTCAGCATTAATTAAAACAGGATCGACACATTTATTTTCAACCCGAAATTGTGGCAGACAAAAACAGGCTTAATTGCGAGAGCTAATTTTTGCTCAATTACGAGGCAGTTTTAAGAATCTCCCAAAGAAAAGTAACAAAAATGCAATTAGCAGAGCAGCGATAAAAATCGTCTGCCTTTTATTAAAGAGTATAATTACTTACAGCAGAAAGCACCGGAAAGGTTGGTCTTCCCAAGGTGGCAATTAAAATTTTTATTTTTATTAAATATATTTAATTTATTGTATCACAATTTAATTTTGTTTCACTGACATAAATTAACGAAGTCAATCTTTCTGGAACTTTGATTTATATAATTAAAAGATTGTCCCTGACGGCCAGCAGGTGCCGCCACGCACCTGAGCTTTTGTACCTGACGGTTCGCCAGCAACTCCGGCGTTCGCCGCTAATTTCCTCCGCGGCACCGCCAGATGGTCTCACGCATGCACACTAATAAAAATAGTTAGTGGTCTCTCTCAACGTCATGATCACGAATGTAGACGGCAAACGCTGTATAAAAGAAAAAACGCTAATGTCACGTGCGCCCAGTCAGGGTTACTTGATTGTCGACTCAAAGAAGTAGAAGTGAACTCTAAAATTATTTCAAATTCACAAAATTCGTTTATATTTGATTTATTGATTTATATTACAAATGTATTTTAGAAATTAAATTAATTATTTTGAATAAAAAGTGTTAAAAGTTGTTGGACAAAATCACTATAGAAGTCTATATCAACAACTTTTGAATGAATGAATGAAGTGGAAAATTAAAAAAAAAAATTAAAAAAATTCTACTTGTTCAATTAAAAATATCAAAATAAATCAATATAAATAAAGAGATTTTTTATGTATAAAACGTTCATTGTTGAAAGAACGACCAAAAACTGTTCTTTTTTAAACAAATATACAAAAAAAAAAGAATGATTTTGATTTTGATTTCTAACTATACAGAATTTAGTTGTCATAAGTACAAAATTTTAAAAGTAATGAAATTATTACCGCTTTAAACCAGTTTGGTAATATTTCCAAAATGTATAATTATGAACTCTCGCATTGCTAAAAATTTAATCTCCTTTCAGATTCAAATGAAATCTGAAAACTCTGTATCGGTTGATTTCTAGAGTTAATTTAAGAGAACGCAGTTATATTTAGATTCTTGATTGATATAAACTGTTTTAATTAATGAGTGGCGGCGGCGCTGGGCAGGTGTGCTGCTGGCCGCCGCGTGTACTCTGCCTGCGTGCGTGTGATTTGGTGGATGGCCTAGGTTGCCCATTATGAATATATGAGACGCGCGGCCACGTAGTGGGGGCAGCGAACAAGAAGAAGAAGAAGCAGGTGAGTGAGCTGCACTCGCAGGAATATATTCATTCCTTCCTCAGTTTCTGCTCCTCACGACAGCAGCCTGCAGGCCTCAGCTCCTTTGGCTGGCTGCCTCTCCGCCTCCACGCCGCCTCCACCATGACGCCCCTTCTGTTGCTCACCCTTGCAGCCACCCTTGCCAAAGGTTTGCCTAATTTTACTCGATCTGATTTCCTTTAATTTTGACTAGGAATTTCAAATATAATTCAAATTTTCTAAACAAATTAAACTGCATTTTTGCAGACCGTTAAAACATTTTTTTACGTTTAAATAGACTAATTTTAAGATTGCTTCAAATTAGAATTTTAAAATTCCAAGTTGATTTTCTAACAAAGATTAAATTGTGACCAAAACTTGAAATTTCACTCTCACTTATTAACAACTAAAATGTTTTATATTAATTTACGATAATATTTCAAATTAATTGAATTAAAAATTTATTTCTTCGTTTCTGAAAGGAATTATGCAGTTTCACGGTGCTCATCCAAATGAGTGGCTAGAGTGTCAGTGCACTCCCATCCTCTCATTGATGAGTCTTTTTTCTTTGACAAGTCGAGTGTGAAATATTATTCAGCAGTGACCGCAGAACGCAGTTAAGTTCACTACACGCACACTACCATTTATATAACTTTCTTCGAACGCGCACGTGTGCGTGGATAGATTATATTATTTTAAATAATTATTATGTAATTTTAATTCACGGGCTGTGCACAGAGGCAACGAACCAACTTTTCATATAATTGCCTCACAAAATCGAGACCGAATTGGGTCTGGCAGCGCGTTCGACTTGACGAGTTATTTTTCCTCGAAATCAATCAAATCGCTCAAACTTGAACTGCATCTGAAAATCTGCATGGCATCGTTTGTGGACATGCCACAAACTGGTTTCTAACGCTCCAATTCGCGGCGTGCGATATTAAGCGACAAATGTTGCCACCAAGTAAGATGTGCTTGCGATGATTAATGACACATATAACGCGTCTCTCGCGATTGATGGCATGGAAACGCGACGAGTAAGAAGAAGAAGTGGATGCGAGCGTTCAAGTCGCCACAGATAAATTACGTTTACGGCTCTCTTGGTGTGAGAAAACTCTGCTCTGCATCTGCAAATGTTTTGAAAATTTTTAAACTCAACAGTTAATCCATAAATTGAATGAAGAGAATAAACAGGAAGTGAAAAGGTCCCTGAAAATATAAATACTGACAATGGAGAATCGTGTAAATAAATTGCAGTGGGAAAAGAAGCAGGGTGGACTTTGGTCCTTTAAAAGGGTTTCCATGTTTTTCGATCTCCGAATTTTTTCCCTACTTGGATGTGCGGTTGAATGATTTTCCAGTGGCGGAAGAAAAAATATTATGACCCTGCTTGCTGTGACGAATTGCACCGAGCAGTGAAGCGCAGTTGGCTAAATTTTGACAAAAGTTCCGTTCATTTGACAGATGCCGCAGATTTAAACTTTGAGTGACTTGCGGGTTATTTTGAAATTTATTTAATATATCGCTCTTCTCTCTTTGTGCTCGCCTGCATGCAGTGAGAATAACTAACAAAAGACACGAGACGAACGTAACTGCAAAAGGAAGTCGGGGAAGAAACTGGAAAAATATCCCACGGATAATTACTCTAAATGACTATTTATCAAGTCGTGCCAACTGCAGGAAAACAATCGACCGGCAAGCCATAATGATAGTGTTTATTGCATTCCGTGCGTGCGTTTTTGTTGACCATTGCCAAGGGAAGAGCAGCGAAAAGAGGGAAGGGTCATTCAACAGACATTGCACCATTGATTCTCTTGGATTTCATCCAATGAAACAAAATAAGTGCAGCAAAAGAAATGGCTATGGTTGAATTTTGTAAATTGCCATTTTATTATTTATTAAATTGAGGCTTAAAATTGGGTACAAATGTTGATACGCTCACATTGAAAATACGAACTTTGTATAAAAATCACAATTTTAAAATTTTACTTATTTCTTATATATTTACAATTAGTCAAAGAAGTTCAGAGTTTGAATGTATTTAGTCAAATCTTTAATTATTTTACTATTGATTGTTCAGTCAATTTTCTCTCAGTTTGTAAAAAGACATAATACAGGTAATAAAATTTTGAAATAAATAATTATTCCTAATATTATTTGTTCGTCCTACAATATTATTTAATCAGTGTGATAAAAAAATGGTGTTTTTTATAGAACAAATATCAAATTGTTTCTAAGAACTCGTATTACAATTTTAAATAACTATAATTGAAATTAAACTGTTCCCGCGTTGATTAAAGTTGTTCAATTATGCAGTTCCAGAACAATTGTTAAATTATTGTGTATTTTTATTAATTAATTTGTTATTTTGTAGCGGAAATTAAGATCATATCGTATCGCTTTAGATTTTATGTTTAAAAATAATATTGAATATCTCATGAATGTAATGAAAAAGTTGTAATAAACAAGGGTTTAAAATAGGTAATTAAAGATAAATTTCAAATGAATATTTGTCACGAAATTTTATTGTCTGAAGTTGAGAAACATATTGATGAATGTATAAAGATAAAAATAATATTGAAAATATAAGCATGCTACATAATTCAGAGAACGCATATTCATGTGCGACAAACAACAATGATAATATTCAAGAAATAATTTAACCACGTCACAATTATTTTATAGTTAAATGATTTAAATACAATTTATTTTACAATTTAATAAAATTGAAAATTAATTAATTTATAATCATATAATTGTGTAAATAAATTTAATCTATTCAAATTATTTTCTTAAACATGATTTATATACAAATTGCGAGTTTTATTTAAATGTTTGTTTTAAATTGTTTAGAGATTTACTAGCTAGTTAAAATTGCTCATAATTTTACTAAACCAATCGTAGTATACAAAATGTGAGAAGGCTAGCGAGCATTGAATAGCAACATGCAGATTCCGAGCAGGTACCTTAATAATTCAAATTAACAGAGATATGATAAAAATGTATTTTCATTTATGGCCACAAAGTTAAAAAACCTGGTTTTTAAAATAAAAGATACAAGCATCCAACATGCCTTTAATTACAGCTCATAATTTTTGGAATAAAATTTTGAGTCGTATTAAATCATTGATGATCTTGAGTCTTGAGTGGCAGAAGCACGCGAGCGGACCAATTCAAGGCAGACAACAAAAGAGGCCGTTCAAGTATAGCACAAAGTACAACAACCAGAATTGGGCCAATTTTACAGCCCGTGATTTTGCACACAATTTGCGCTTCTTACTCGAATGCACTCAGAATTGCCGCCCGCGACAAAGAGCAAATAATGCAAAAGTATCACAAGACGCGCACTAGTCGGAACGCAATGCTGGTCGGTCCATTTAATTGATTGACCTCGTAAAAAATTTATTTTGCGGAATAGTCAGTTAAAATACTTTTATTTTATATTTGTTTCTCTGTTAAAATAAAAGCTTCGCATTAAAAATATAAAAGCGCGATAAATAAAACTTGATGATATTTACCAAGGTCTTGCCAGATTGAAAAAAAGCCTCTGCGAGAGAGCGGAAATATTTATTTTTGAGAGAATTGAGAGACGTTTAAATGGTTTATGACAAAGTGTGTAAGAAAAGTTACTCTCCTTGACATGAGCTAATGCGTACGTTGAATATTGATGAGGTGTAAAAAACTGAAAACAAGAGACGACACTTTGCCACGTTCCCTCTGCCAAGTCTCACCACATTCCAAGTACCAAGTGTGCATTCACTAAAAAGGACAAATCTCAAAACAATTATGTATTGTTCAATTGTTTAGGAAAAATGATTCTCATTATTGATTACGTTGAACTGTTTACCCCAATTAACAAATCAAGGCTGAACAAATTGATAAGACCAATTGCAATTTTAGTGCAATTAAATTTTATTTTAAAATTAAGTTGCCTTATTTTTGGTTTTATTTTAATGCTTTTTAACATTATCTTTAATTATTTATAAATATTCTCCTTACATTTTTTTATTCATATTTTATATAGCTCCTATATTTATCTTGATGTTTAATTTTGCAAGTATGTACCGAATTTTTATATGACTAAGTAAAACCATCAACATTATGAATGGTATGTTGCTTTGAAGCGGTGGCCGGCCAGAAAACCGTTTTTATGGTCTCTAAGAAAAAACGCAAATAAATAAGTTTGGCCGACAAATTCGTGTGGCAACGACCTTGGATTTGCACTTGGGTTTTAGGCGCCACCGGTCGCAATTAATTCAATCTCACGTTGGAATTTCCTGCGTGCAGCGTTTATTTCGGCGCGCGATTTCCACCCAAGCAGAAGAAATTACCTGAAAATTGAATTGAATAGGAGCAGAGGGAAATTATATAATTTCGGTGCAGCGCGAGGTAGCGGGCCTGCGATTGCGGTTTCAAATTGTTTAATCCCGCTTTTCTCTCTCATGCCCGCTCAATTTGAATGTCTTTTTTTCTCGCGATTCACACAATTTCGCTTGAAAACGGAAACGCAAGAAGAGAACTTGCGTCACTCCTTTCTCACAAGCGCACACCATCATCTTTTTGCCAAGAATGTTTTATTGAGAGTGGCGATATTGAATTAGCATGCGGTGCAGCGACGGCCCATTGCCTCTAGCTCGGCACTATTTGCTCTCACTTTCACGTGTTTGCTTTTAATTTGCATTCATTCCATTGTTCGCAGCAGCCGACGAAAGATTAAAAATGAATCGGAGTTTGCGCTACCAATGGATATTAAATTTGCACTGGTTTTGATAAAAAAAAAAAATTGGAATCAAGAGAGAATAAGAAACATGAATACGAAACGCTGTTTTGCGGCCAAGCACCTGTTTAATTTTTTTCACAGTTGCCAGGAGATGAAAATGATCAAGTGTGAAATGTATGGAATTATAAAAGTTTAACCTTTAAAAGTGTTCATAAGTTTTAAACAACTGTATGAAATTACAATTTCTATAATTCTATTTCTGATATTCTTGATTACAGAAAAAAATAAAAATTTAAGACGCTACAAAGTTAATGATTTACTCCATTACACTAGAAAATATAATCTTACCATTTATTTTGAGATGCCAATCATTGTTGTTTATGGAAATTTCTGCCAGTTATCAATGTTGATTTTTAAGCAACAGTTATAGTGTATGCAGAAAAAATCCG